ATGTGGCTCACAGCCTTGAGAAGAGAAGACTGAAGAAGGGCATGACAGAAGTAGATCAAAGGCTGCCACAAAGAGGAAGGTCAAGAACGCTTCTTGCTGACACCAGAGTGAAGGACATGGCATAATCAACGCAAGTTGCGATGGACCAGATGCTGGCTAGGCACCAGGAATCCTTTCCTAGCTGTCAGAGCAATGTGATGGTGGAGCAAGTTGCCTAGAGAGGGCATGGGCTCTCCAACACTCACAAAGAAACTGGACAGTCATCTGAACTGGATGGTGTGAAGTGGTGGCCAGCAGCGTCCCGGCAGCCTTGCGGGCCCCTTCTGTCCCTCTCATGCTATGATTCTGTGAGGCTGGTCCAGCCCCCAGATCACCATCCACCATCAGCCCCTTTGCAAATCCATGTCTCATGCCTACCTTCACCCAACTCCCCATTCAGATGGCACATCCCTAACCTGGGTCCCTCCCAATGTGTTGGACTACAACTCCCAAGCTTCCTGACCGTTGACTATGCTGGCTGGAGCTGATGGAAGTTGATGTCCAAAACATCTGGAGGGAACAAGGTCGAGGAAGGCTGCTTAGGCCATTTCACCTTCGGCCATCCAAGGGGAGTGCTTGTCATTGCTGATGCATCACCTTGGCGCCACTTCACATGTTGTGGCATTGTGGGTTTTACTACATGTGCATGTCATGAAGGGAGCACACACCTACTTGGGGACAGAGGGCCCAAAGATGGCAAGGAGGAGCCACAGTAAGGCTAGGGGCACCAGGCATTCAGTGATGAGCCCCTTCCTGGGCCATGGACCTTGGCAGGTGCCCACAAAGGCCGAACCCTGGCGCCAACACGGATTCTGCTCCCAGAGAGCCCCCAGGCTTCTGGCTTGCTCATAGATGTTATCCATGCAAGGCTGTCATTATAAATCAAATAGGCCTGCTCCTCATTCCTCTTTCGCTCGGAGCTCTACCCACTAGCAATGCATGCAGCAGGAAAGGGTCCCAGAGCATGGTCTGAAGGCAGCCCTTTTCCTGAGGCTGAACAGAGAGACTATGCCGGTATCCCACAGAGCAACCCTGAGTCCCACGTTGGAAGAAAGGTCCAGATATGTAACTGTAATATAACTGGGATGAATGAATGAACAGTGCTCAGGCCAAAAACACACATTTCTTCCCTTCAAACAAACAAAGCTATTAGTCCTATCTGAATTTTGCCATAGGTTTTAAGAACTGAAAACTATTGGAACATAAAGCACCTGCTTAAGTGGCTTTCAGATTTGCTTGCCTGCTTGTTTGCTGCTGCAAAGGCCTTTTGTGCTGTTTGACGTGGGCTTTTTCAGTTTTAAGATTGCCATGATTAATTTGTTAATTCAGCTTCTTTGCTTCTATATTGTTAAATTGTCTTAAGCTGTCAACGCAGTCAGAGGAACAAGTACACATTAGCGGAACTTGTACACACCGTACCCTGTTGCGAATCTTCCACCACTTTCCTGTCTGTCTATTTTATTGTCCTGATGCTTTGTCACTGGGGATGAGACATTTTCTCAGCTGAGTTATCGCTGGTGCTTACAAAGCTGCGATTAAATTATGAATAAGCAAAAGTGACCCTTTAAACCTTGCTGAGTCATTCCCTTAATTTTAGCTCCTAAATGCCTTTCCTTTCACTCCCAGGGCACTCAAAGGCTTATTCACAGTGCAGTCATAGGCATGTCTCCTCTGAATTGTGTCCCACAGAGTCCAGTGGAATTTACTCCCACATAAGTGGTTGTTTAGAATCGTGGCAAGGTGCTGCATGGAGCATATCTCTACAGACCTTTAAATAATTGTATATCCCCCTTTGAAAAAGGCCTTTTCTATCCTGCTGGGATTTTGACATTCTTTCATTTAGACAGACAGGAATTTCAGGCAATGCCTGATGTTCATATTGATGAAACCTCTGTGCATGGTTTTAACAAAATAAATATTTTAACATATCACTCGGAATGAAGCATCCTGTAACTTGGAACGCTGTGAGATTCTTTTTTCCAGAGAGAATTATGGTATATGTATTACTTCCAATGAAAGCCACTGTGTGATAACACCGTTAAACACAGTGCCTGCACAGGCCGGTTCTCCTAGCTGCTCCCCCCACCTCCACATTAGTGCCTTATATAACCTATGACATGTGGGTTGTCTGCTGCTTCTCCCCCCACCCTGCAAATTTGTCACATTGCTCCAGGAGAGAATAAAATATATTTGAGTGCTGTTTGATCTCACCAGCAAAGCACATACTTTTAAAATTAATAATTTTAATCCAGTGCGCTAACCACTGGATTCCTTTTAGGGACAACCTTTCTTTAGTCAAACAGCATTGTCCAGGCACAGGTGAGAGAGGTTGGAGACTTGGAGAACTCCAAGTTTTGTAAAAGTAGAGAGGGAGAGAAGAAAGCTGGCGGGGAGGTACCCCAAACAATGCAATGCGATGGGATCGTATATAGTAGCCATAGAAAGCTGGCTGCATATTGGACAAGGTGCTCCTAGCATCTTAAAGCTGATAGTGGTCAGTTTTTAAGTACAGGTAACTATCATCACAGTGCCAGAGCCAACCCCACAGGGAGCACGGTCAGCATCAACACACCAGTCCTACTAGTTTTCATCTCCACCATGGGAAGGGCTTTTGTTAAATGAACGGGTCTTAATTTTGCATTCAGATCCATGCCTCCACAAATTACATTGCATTATAGCCTTTCTTTCTTCCTCTTGCAAGGAACCAAGGATGGCTGACAAGGTTCTCTTCCTCTCCTTTCATCCTCACAACGACAACCCTGTGAGGTAGATTAGGCTGAGAGACAGCGACTGGCAGAACGTCACCCAGTGGGCTCAACAGTGGGCCGAGTGGGACAAGAACCCAGCTCTCCTGTCCCAGCCCAGCATTCTTAACCACCACACTGCCCCTTGCAATACCACAGGGATACTCTTGCTGGGGAAATCACTTCTCCCCCACCCACTGCAGTTACTAAGAGATTGACGGCTAAATCAGTGGGAACAAGGAGGTGGGAGAGGCGGATGGCATCAGCCTTCCAGGGCTGCAGCTGCTGGGAGCTGTGGCTACACCACACCCCTGGACTGCCCAGAGCTCACACTCAGTGTGCAAACCGCTGGTGCAAGGGCACTGCTGGAGGAGGGGCTGAGCCAGGCACCTCCGTGCTTTGGGTATACATGACGGGAGCTCTCTGACCACTGCTATTCGCAAAGGTATCCCTCTCATTGCCTCCTCCCCTCGCCCCCAGCAAGCTTGGCTCTAGGGGAGCAGCGGGGGGGGGGGGGTACTGCCTCCCCGCTGAGTCCCTGTGAGGGATGGAGATTGCCCTGGCAGCAGCCACCTCCACAGCCTTCCATTTCCCCCCATGAGAATGGATGGTGAGTGCACATAATTGGTGCGGAAGGAGATGTCTGGCTGTGCAGGTGGCCTCACAGTCCTCTTGGCAGGACTGACCCAGGCCAGCCCCACCTGGGGAATGCCGCAATTCAGTCCAGTTCTTGCTTATGCTGCAGCAGGGTGGAGGACCGGGAACTGTGTGCAATCGACACACTGTTTACAAGGGCAAAAGATAAAAACGCAGCCAACTTCCAATCGTGTCTGGTAGTCTTCAGTAGCCTTATCCTCCATGAGTCTGGGTCTGAGCCAGAGCAAAACAGAAGGAAAACAAATAGGCGCTGATTATCTCACCTCTGATCATGTACTCACAGTATGCAGTGCAGAAATGTAACCGATGTCAGAAGTGTAGCAATCTAGTAAATAAATTGTCTTTATGCAATCATGCGGTTCGCTGGAGGTGGGAATTTTACAAAACGGCGAGACTAATTTCGATGAGCTGCAGCACATCCGTGTGGCCAGAAGGGGGCAGTGCTACCTCAGTTTTATAGACTGTTCCAGGGCATCGTCGCAGCCACATCACTGAGTAAAAGGGGCCCGCATCCCACAACTCCGTACCCCAGTTGTGCCTTGTTTTATTACTACATCGCAAGGAGCCCAAGTTGGCTGGAGGAATAAAGGTGAACTGGAAAATCTCAGAAAGGGTATCAGGAGGTCTTGATTCCCAGCTGCAGCCATTGTGGAAAACCCCTTTTTGGTTCTGCCACTTGCCCTGCCCCACAATGCATTGATTCACATTCTCCAACCAGCCCATGGTTGCAGCAGGAGCAAGCAAGACTCAGCACACCATGTGCCTCAGATGGCGGAGGAAAGTGGTTCCTGCTCCGTACAGCAGGGCTAGACGACGCATGGCCACTGCCTGAAAAGTTCTGGAAGAGAGCAGGGTTCACCACTACGAGTCCTCTTCTCCTTCAGGCTCCCTCTCCCATGTGCCCAGTAGTGTTTCCTTCTCATCTAAGGCAGAGTGGACAACTTGCGACCATCCAGTTATTCTGGCACATGATTCCCACCAGCACAAACAGTGGAAAACGACGTCTAGAGGGCCTCAAGGTGCCCATCCCTGATCTTGGCCAAAGAGAACGTGAGGAGGCCAGCTAAAAGCATTCCTGCTTGTGACTCATCCCAGCTCTTCCTACTGCTCTTTGGTCCTGCCTGCTGTGGAAAGCAAGGATCAAAGTCCCAGCTGTCTCCCAGGAGTTGCTGTGTCAATCTGAGGCAGCAAAAGCAGCAGTATCTTGTGGCACCTTAAAAACTAACAAATTATTGCAGTCTACACTTTTATGGACAGTTCTCCATTTCTTGCTATGTCATGTGTTCTATCATCGCTTCTAATCCCCTTCAGTAAATGTAAACTGCTCCAGAACGAGCACAGCTATTTAGTTTAGAAATGTTTTGGCCCAGTGTCTGTGGAATGAAATACTGAAAACTTTGTGTGAGAAATAAATTGTATGTCAGGATAGGATTTGGCTATTAGAGCACCCTAACTGAAAGAACTCCTGTAAGAAGTTGAAGACATTTCCCATTTTCTTGTAGATAATGCTGAACAGAAAACATCAGTGAAAGAAACAAGAATGATTGCTTACAAAGGAAAAATATTAATAAAATATCTTGTTTTAATAGAAAATAAAATAAAGACACACTTTTTTGGAGGAACTAAACCTAGACACTCTACTCTTCCCTTCCAAGTGTTGGAGATGAAAATGTGTTGAATGATCTCGGCAGATGTTCCTGGGCTGGCTTGTAGGCTGCTCCAAAATTAATCCTTCTCCTTTTTCTTCTTGTCACCACCATGACCCTTGTTAGGAATGGGAGGAGAGAGAAAGAATTTGAATTGGAGCTGAGGAACATCTGCTCTCACCAGGATAACCATATTCCAGAAAACAAAACAAAAATGGAAACACCTGTATTAAGTGTCTTGCCTTTCTAAGCAAGACTATTCATCAAGTGAATTTTTTCACCAAGACTTCTGTTTTCTTTATAGACCGAAGCCCTAAAACAGCCTTCCCCCATCAGCTCCAGTTAGCATGTCCAATGATCTAAGATGGTGGCGGCCGCAGTTCAAAACATCTGGAAGCTGCTAGGGAAGGATGTTGCCCCCAGATGTTGCCCCCAGATTCCCACTTAATCTACATGGGCAGGAATGGAGACAGTCACAGGCTCTTATTAAACCATCCAAATCCAAGGATGCCCTCTGACAAAGCACCTGGTGCCTGCAGGTGTGCCTACACCTCCCATTAAAAGTATATAAAAGGCATATAAACATTTTAAATAATAATTAGTATTATCCTAAGCCAGCACAGGTGGCCATGCCTGTGCTTCAGGCCAAGAGGAGCTGCTTTATTGTCTTACAAGCAGCGGTAAGACAACAAGATAAAAGTCTGCATCACAAAAACATATTTAGAGTATAGCCCAGACAGAGGCTCATCTTTTCTGTGAGAACTTGTGCTGGTGCATTGGCAGCGACTACTGGTGGGGCACCCGCCTTGTTTTCTGCAGGGCCACTGCAACACAGGTTTTGAGCAGGTAAACCTTTGCTAGCTTGCAGGATACAGCAAAGGAGGGGGCCTCGCTTTCTAAAGCAGCCTTCCCCAGATTCATGCCCTCTAGATGCTTTGGTCTACAATGCCTAGCATTACTGAGCCTTGGTCATGCTGGCTGGGGCTGACGGAACTTGAGATCTAGAACTTCTGGAGGACACCAGGTTGGTGGCAGCTGGATTAAAGGAACACAGGGTGGACCTGCCTGAAAAGGGCCAGCTCTGGCTAACTCTAGCTAGCAGCCAGAAAGAGAAACCTTTCTGTTCAACCTGCCATGCACCCATCAAACTCCCATTACCTTTTCCGAATCACTGTCGGAGCTGCTGCTGCTGCTGCCATCACCATGCCCATCGTGCTGGGGAGCAAAAAGCAAGCGATTATTCCAGCGGTGGCACAGAACACAGAGCTTCCCAGCCCACCTATGTGGTTTAGGGAAGGGCCATGATTCAGTGGCAGAGCACCTGCCTTGGACGCAGAAGGTCCCATCTGAGGTCCACTCCTGGCATCTCCAGGTAGGGCCAGGAAAGAATCATACCTGAAATGCCAGGGGGCAGTGGCTGCTGACCAGGGCAGTCAATATAGAACCAGACAGAGCAAAGGTCTGAGTGCCTGGAAGACAGCACCCTCAGGTCCTGGCTCTCGACCTGGAGTGGCCATCATGTGCTCCCCAAGACATCCTTTTCCAGAACTTCCTATTAAAAGCAACCATCCTCCTCTCATTTCTTCTCTCCTGTCTATCATTTATAGCCAGCTGAAAGTCACTCTAGCAGAGAAAGAGATCTCGTACTCTTTGTGCACCACTTCATTAAATGTTAGCACAGTCCATCATTCATCAGCCGCATCCCCATCATGATGCAGGAAGGAGGACAGCCCCGGGGTCCTTCCATGGCTGGTTCCCTGTCACGACGCAGCAGAGGGGGGATGTATGGTACGGAGGCCGGCAGTGGAAGCATGGTTCCAGGCTGCTTTTGGCAGGGTGAAAGCAGAGGTGGCATCTGCTGGAGGGCCCAGCTAATGCATCAAGCAGGACAAGCAGGACAAGCTTCCCCAATGTCATTTTAAAATACACAGAAGGGTGCATGTTGTTTTCAGCAAGGATACACTTGCAGGTATCCTTGGAATGGTTGTCCGCCATTCCAAATGACCCTCAACAGCAATGTGACCCGGTAGAGGATGTGGCAGACGGCGCCTTAACATCACTTCCATCCGTCACCCATATTTCTTCCATGCCTTCTGGATAAGATATGCGTTGTGAGTTAACTCCATGGACCCACCCATTTTAATCTTCATATGAACCCTCTGAGGTGGGCTAGATGCAGACAGCGGCCAGGGCTGCTCCACCACTGAGCTCCATGGCTAGGCAGGGATGCGAATCCAGAGCTCCCTAGCCCAAGTGCAGCATAATAAGCACTGAACCCCTCTCAGCCAGCTCCCTATTCCATTAGGGGTCAGGTGGTTCCCTTAGACCAGGGACAAAGGACCCCACTCCTGTGCGCCGAATCTCCTAAATTTATCACAACCCTTCTGGCTTTCTAACACAGGCTGCTTCCTTCTAGCAACAGGGCACTAAGCTTCCACTTTGGTACCAGCAGGAAGAGAATGTAAGAATCGGACACGGCATATGGCAGAGGGTGCTTGCACTGTCTCTCGTCCCGTGAACAAGCAAAGGGTGAGAGAGCCTTTTCCCTACTTCCCTATTACAGGCCCTATTCGTTACACATTCTCCTGCCGGAGAGTTTAAAGGTTTTGCTCTACTCAGCCAAGCAGAGTCCATGTTGACTCATACATGAAACAGAGCAAACTGCCATAAGAACTTGACGGCTGATAAAAGGTTTTAAGAAAGCAAATGTTGACTCATGCCCAAATAGTGTCCTGTAGACAAAGGGAGGGGAGGTGAACATCATTGTATAGAAATCAGGCTTTTTAGATAAAAGGGTACCCCTTCTCCACCCAAACCTTGGTGCAAGCAAGACCTCCCTTTTTTTAATTGCACCAAACTTCTGTGCTACTTTAGAAGCTCTTGTTGTTAGAGGCAAGCACACCTCTTCTGTGATCATTTTCAGTGTTCCAAAAGGGCATCTTTGTCCACCAGGCGCAGGTGAGAAATGTGTATTGTTGATTATTTGTATTATCATTATTTTGTCATACTTGCATGTAGCACCTACACATGGTTTTTTTGGGGGGAGGGGGGTCTTGAGCAAGAGCTCTCCATGATCCTCTGACCTCAGCAAGCCTGGACACTCCCTTGCATTTCCACCACTCCAGCTGCTTTTGCTCCTCATCCACTTTTGCATCCTAGCTACTTAATTTAAGAAATTTGAGCATTGGAGACTATGTAAAACGTTATGTAAGTAATGGTAAGACTAGCTAACCATGCAGAAAGATAACCAGTCAAAGAAATAAATGATAACTGCAAATTATATTACACTCGACTTCTTTTTAATGGGGATAATAATAATGGAAATGGAAATAACAGTGGAAAGGGAAAACAATGGAAAACTATAGGTAAAGTGGGGAAATAATTTCTGAGAAAAATTGTTTGAGATTAGGAGAATCTGCAATAGATATTAACTAAATAATGTTAAAAATGTGATTGAGTAGAAAGGATAGTAATTGTTGATTTACAGCGGTTTTTAAAAATATACTTGACCCTCTGCAGAACATTTGTTTAAGAGCCCTTGGTATTTCTTTGTAATTTACTTGTATTTTTATTTTTCCTTTTCCCCCTTCTTTTTAAACTTTGTTATTAAAATAAATTTTAAAAATAAAAACAAAAAGGAAAATAGTAGTTGCTTTAGACTGACAAGAAATGACATTCATAATGAGATGGTTTGATGTGGCAAAAGTTAAAGCATTCCACATTGCTCAAATATAAATTCATTGCATTTATTGTATTGTTTGCTGGGTGATTGTGCATTAGGACATAGGAAAATGGCTCATCGCCTTCTCTTGGACAGATGGCACCGCAATACTTAATTGCATAACCTTGAAGAACCAGCCATCTCCCCAGTTGAAAGAGGCAAGCTGGAGTAAGTTTCATGGTGTTTCACAGGCTTACCCCCAGGTGAGGTGTGTTTAGGATTTGCAGCCTAACGTGTTGTGTACAATGATTTGGCAAATGTCATATTCACCCTGGAGTGAGTACTTTGGATTTCTCTTGTCAGTGTGTTCCTTTTATTCCTATGGAGCCATGCTGCCCCATTGTTAAGCCTGGATTGTAGATTTCAGAAGGATATTTATTATATTTTATCCCAAAATTGGCCATCTGAGGAAGCTGATCGTAAAGCACCCCTGTAATTCTCCATCCCTTTCTTACCTTTTTCTCCTTTTTTTCCTTTTTCTTTTTCTTGTCTTTCTTGTCTCCATCTTTATGACTTTTCTCCTTCCCCTTCTCCTCCTTCTTCCCCTTTTCCTTCTCGTCTCTCCCAAAGGCTAAGAAGGGCAACAGGAAGTCAGCAGACACGAAATGAGAGGCGGATATGCTGTGACCTTCTTAGGGCAGGATGGAAGACCTGTTGGCTCCCCTGCCTTTTCCCAGCTGAGGGGACAGTCCTATCATGATGGCCGTAAGTCTCTGAACCCAGCGGCTTATGGGCATCTGATGCAGGGCTGGAGGAGCAGCAGAGGTGATCTTCAGGTCCCCATCCTTCCACCCTGCATTTTTGTGCTGGTGGCCTTTTACCCATCAACCAGAGGGAGGGATGTGGGAGCAGCTGCAGGTACCTCTTTACCTTGCCCTCTTCCGTCACCTTGACTCTCCACCCCCTGAAACACCCCCTTCCCTGAAGTTGTCTTTTCTATCTCAGAAAGTGTTTGCAAAGTCCTTTCTATGCTGGTGGTGAGAAGGTGGTGTGGAGGGACAGAGCTCTGATTCCAGCTCCCAGTCAGACCACAGAGTCTCAGGCTAGAACCTCTAGGGGGGTCATAGCATTTCTCCTTCTGGAAATGTTCAGGTTCTAGTGCACCAGTCTTATTCTCCAATCTATGGGTGCCACAAACTTCTGTTGCAGGTGCCACAGCCTGGCCATCTATGCTCCATTAGATAATTTGACCAAAAACTTTAGCAGAAACAAAATTAACTCTCTAATTTAATCTGTTATGAAGGAGATGCCTGTCTCTTAGGGTCTCAGAACAGGAGAAATGAGCAGGAGTATGGAAGAAGTAACATTAATCTTTAGCCACTGATTACAAGAAGAAGTAAGGGTGGCCAGGTGTCTTCTTTTACAAAGGACTGTTCCCATTTTGAAGGGCTTTCAGAGAGCTGTCCCCTTTTTGAAGGTATCTTCCAGAAATGGTATTAAGGGGTAGCTTATGGGGGTTGGAACCCGAATCTTTCATTTAGAGCTCCAAATCTCTGAGAGGCCTCCTTCCCCACACCACCCGGCTGTCCCTGCTGAAAAAGGGGTACAAGATTCCAGATGATCTCTGTTGGATCAGATCCCCATGGATTAGCTGGCTGTTTGCCCACATGTGCCTCAGCTCCTTCTGCCCACCTCACCAATCTTTCTACCTAAGGTTCTTTCCCCCTGTAATCAGATGCCCAAAGTGTGGTCTGAAGGCACATAAGGCATCCACCATGTTGAAGCTAAGCAGGTAGGGGGCTGGCCTGAGTTTGGAAGGGAGACCACCAGGAACTGCAGAGTTCAGCAACAGGAGAAAGGTGGCATATAAATAAAGAAACTTGCAAATCTCTGCTTTTATCTCTCCTGTGGGCCTGAACCTTGGGGGGGGGGTGTTTGTTTTGTGTGGGGGGGCGTACCTGGCAACCCTTCTGCTGATCTCTGTTTGATGGGCTTATTCCATAAGAATTATCACCCTTGAGTGGTGAACAGAGACCAAACAGGAAGGCACATGGGTCAGTTCTCCACACTAGAGTGAAATGGACAGGTTTTTTCTTGAACTTATAATTTCTACATTTGCATATATACATTGGTTTGTGCAGAGTTTATGCAAGTCACTGCATTCTTTTGTCCAGATCAGGGCTAAGTGGAATCCTGGAGAGGTGAACCCTTTCAGACAATAGGAAAACAAGCTCCATGTTTTGAAACAGAGTTGAAAGAAATCGTATCAGATTCTGACGCTGTACTTCATGGTGCACAAAATATACCATTCTAACTTTGAACAAAACCTTCCACAGAATACGAAACTCAGTGGGATTTACTTCTGAGGAAATGTGCAGAGGAGTGCACTGCATGAGAGGGCCTTTTAGCTAAGACTTTGCTAATGTTGAAAGATGGTTCTGAAGATCAGACGTTGATTTTCCCCCCTTCTCCTTACTCACTTGAAATGTAACAGAGTGATCAGAGCTCACTCATACTCATATTAATGGTTTAATGATTGCCTTGATCCCCAGAGGAATGTAATTTCCCTATTCTGAAAGTGTAGCATCCTGATTTGAGAAGACTAACGTACGAAAAATAGCAAATGATCTGGGGAGAACATACAAGCCAGACACAGGAAGATGATGCTGTTTAACACCCCTAGCAATGTGGAACCAGGAAGCTTTGCTTTACTATAAACCTGTGTGGGTTGCCCAAGGCTAGGCACTTTGAGAGATAAGTGAAGTGGGGCTTTGAATAGCTGAGGAATTTGGCATTTCATATTGTAACTCCCACTGAATATAAAGACCATTTCTGTTAGTGAGTGGCATGTGATCAGATGCATGTTTGTTTTCAGAACATCAAATCACCCGGCTGAGATCCACAGAAAGTTTGATTTACGCAGCTCCGCATAGTTTCATAGAAAGAAGTGGACCTTGGTTTTGCTGATACTAGAGAAAGATTTTCCTGTGTCAACATCTTATCTGAAACAAACAGAAAAGCGTGGATTTGGGCGGGGAGGGAGAAGATGCAAAGCAAAAGTGACTCACCTTTTAAGATTGAAGACATGCTTCGGCTGGGCCAAAGGCTAATACAGTGCAAGTTGGCCCTGGGTGAGCAGGATCAGCAGCAGACACCTAGGCAGCAGCACATAGAAAGGACATTGTGCATTATTTTTCTGCCTGGAAGATGGAAAGAGAGAAGATGCAGAAGACTCCTGCCATGATCCCTGCATTGCTCTATGTGGAGCAAGCTGCCTTTGCTGGCCTTGCTCTGGGAGGGCAAATCCTGGTTCTCCCCGGTTTTTCAGCCCAGGCCAAAGAATCTGGTTCAGCCTGTTGTCATTCCGCCTCACCCACCTTCAGCACTATGACAAACCATCCGGGCAGGATGCAGAGCTCAGGGCAAGCAAGTGGACAGAAAGGTCACATGGGACAAAGGGGCTGTACTCACCTTGACACCCTAAGAGAAAAAGTTCCTGTTCCAGCCCCGCCCTGCAAGGCCACCACCCAGGCTGCTGAAGATCAAGCAGATCAGTTTAAGCAGGCAGAGGTGCAGCTGCACCGCTGAAGACTCTGCGCTTATTGGTGCTGCAGCTGCCACCCCTTCCTACCTTTTGGCAGCCATCTGTAGTGCTCTGATTGTGGCGCCCACAAAAAACATTTTTCCCCCTCATCCAATGCACATTCCATACTTTACACCCACTTCTTGACTCCTGCTCCATCTGAGCAAACAAGGAAGGTTGCCCAACCCTGATAAATACTCTGAACATGTGCAGTTTTGCATTTTCAATTCTCTTAAATCATAGTGCCATCACAAACGCAGCAATAAAATGGAGTCTGTTCCTCTTCACTTGAGGCTAAATTCTTCGGAATAAGCCCCATTTATGACAGGAACAGATAACGTATTTTTGGAAGATGAATAAAAATAATGCCTGTAAATGACCCGACCATCGCGTGTCTTGGACCTGCCTGGTCCCAGTGGGTCTAGCAGGTGCATCCTGGTTCAGGTGCTAGGGCTGGGCCCATTTGCCACACTCCAGGTAGTCATTTGGGAGACTGTGGGGCCCTGGCCTTTGGCCCCAGGGGCCAGCTCCAGCTGCACAGCTGAAACTAGGGATGGGGGGCATAAGCTTCCCCAGAACTGTGGGACTGCAATTCCCATTAATCCCTCGGCATTGGCAATCCTAGCCGGGCAGAATTCTGGCAGTCCAACAGCACCTTTTGTATTTCTGTCAGAAAGCCAATGCAAATTCACAAAACTGATTTTTCCCCTGCAGATTTGGCAGCTCCTAACATTTAATCCTCCCAGGTTGGTTGGCCTCTGGTGAAGCTTCAATCTGTTGCTGAAATAGCAATGCTTCCCCCCAGCCCGCAGCCCCACCACACACTCTTAAAAGCGAAATAAGCCGAGTCACAGCAAAACACCCAGATCTTCCTCCTGTGAATCCACCCAGATGAGATAGCACCCTCCCCAAGCGTAAACTGCCCTATGTTAAATTATCTTCAAGTGAAAAAGTGACAAAGGAAAACAACCTCACTTGGTGGAGGAAGAGGTTCCCAAATGCAGCCTCGCAGATGCTCTCTTGCAGCAGAAATGAAACTCCAGGCTGCTGCCTTATAGGTTATGTAGTCTCCTCCCCCATCACAAGCAGAAAGAGCAGTAAAACTGGTTCCACCCAGTGCTGGGAGTGTGCTTCAACTCTTGTTCAGGCAAACCTCTTTTGTAGATCCTATTTCTGCCAGAAGGTTCTGATTCAAAGCATTTAGCTTCAAGCTGGAGCATCTCTCCCTCCCCTTTCCCACAATAGGAACCAAGTCACTTTTTCGATGGAAGTCAGTCTGGTGTAGCAGTTAGAGTGTTGCACTGACACTTGGGAGAAGCGAGTTCTAGTCTGCACTCAGCCATGAAGCTCACTGGAGGATTTTGGGCCGGTCATGGACTCTTAGCCAAACTACCTCACAGGGTTGTTGTTGTGAGGATCAAATGGAGCTATGTATGCTGGCCTGGGTTCCTCAAAAGAAAGAAAAAGGTGGGATATAAATGCAATGTAATAACAACAACTATAATGATGGACTGTTAATGATCGGGCCCAAATAACTGCTGACTGAGGCCTTGTATAAGGCAGGCTGGCCGAGTTATTCTGTCACCTGAGGCAAAACTCTCAAAAGTCCCTCTCCTTGGGAGCGCAAGCTGCTGCAACGTCAATCACACACAATGGTGTGAGGGGCTTTTCATAAGTGATACTTTGTCTAATGGTAAGTCTGGACATGCACATGGTGGGCATGTCGTGAGTGAAGCCGGCTGGAGCTGGGGGTCAGACTAGATGGCCCAGGAGGCCCCTTCTGACTTGCGGTGTCTGACTTTTCTCTTGATTTAAAATTGGCTTAGCATTTATCAGGTAATACTTCACAAGCCACCTGAGAACTATCTCATAAGGTTTCTGCTTTTTGAGTGGTCATTTGAACCAGTCATTGGTCATTGTTTGCTTCCCTTTCACCTGTTAACATAAAATCATAGAATTTAAGAATAGGAAGGGACTTTGCAGCTCATCAAGTCTAACCACTAGCTTAATGTAGGGAACTTACAACCACAGTAGCTTTCCCCAGCGTGGTACTTTCCACATGTTTTGCACTTCAACTGTATTAGCAACAGCCAAAATGGCCAATGATCAGAATGATAGCCATTGTAGTCCTAAACATCTTGATGCCTGAAGGCAAGGAAGGACCAATTAAAATACCTCTGGCAGATTTCGAACTAACCAAGGAAGATGCAATTCAAATGTCTATAGGACTGTTTTCAACCCACTACAGGTTCAGCCTACCACCTGTGTTCTCGCCCCTTGTCCTTCATGGCTGCCCATGAAAGCCCAGGAGGGAGTGTGCTCCTGGGCCCAGGCAGCTGTGAATGCCTCCCTGAGGGAAGCGCTGGTCCCAGGCACATTAAACGAAGCAGTGATCAGACCTCTCCTGCAAAAGGCAACTCTGGACCCAGGAAATGTTAAACTATACGCCTGTGGGCAACATTCCGATTTGGGGCAAGGTGCTCAAGCAGGTGGTGGCTAGGCAACTCCAGGTGACCTTGGAAGACACGGATCATCTGTACACTGCAACCTGGTTTGCAGGATGGATGCAAGCCTCTGATGTCTCAGCTTTGCCCATTCCTGTTTGGGTGTTCCTGCTAGGAGACCGGAGTAGGGAGAGACTCTGGCCTCCTGGCAGATGCCCCTCACTCACAAGCCATGTTCAGGTGTGCCTCCAGGAAAGGGTAAAACAAGCCACCAAGGGTTAGTTAAACTAGCAGCACATGCCATGTGCAATTTGCTTGTTTACCTGGCCACAGCTTGTGTCCTCTGCACCTGTGCAGCACAGCTCGTTTGGGGGTGAAGCAACCTTCAAATAACCCATGGCTTGGGGCTGGATTATTTAAACCAGAGTGCCTTGTTCAATTGTGTGATCTGTCCGCGTGTTCCGTGAAGGACTTGGTCCATTATTTATTGCACTCTCTTCAGGGATGGTTAGAGAGAGTTCGGCTTATTCAGCATACTTCTCAAAAACTTGACACATTTTTCTTGAGTGGAAAGCTGCTCAGAAGATCACTTCATTTCAGCTCCCTGCTGCAATACAGCAGGGGAGGGGAGGGTGGGGATTAAAGCCATTGTTGTGGACTCTGATTCTTTTATGCAATCACAGCACTTTATGATGTCCATTGCTAATAATTATATACCTACTTAATTGGTACTGTGGCCCATAGCAGAGATAAACCCAGCATTTATTTAGAACGCTTAGCAGGAACATTAGTGCCAATACACCTTTGTATATGGAACGCCCTCATCCTCCTGAACAGTCAGCAGGAAAACAGCCATCTCTCTCACAAGATGGTTTTGCATATGAACAAAATGTGCACTAGACTGCTGCGATTGATTTATAGAATAACCATGTGTCCTGCTTTACAGATAACAGTTCTATCAGAAAGTAGCTCATATCTGAAGGGTTGACCAATCCGACTGTACCTCCAGACTTTTACTCTGCAATCACGCAGCCTTGAAGGGATCCATTGTGTGTTTTCCCATTGCTCCATCCATCTTTTCTCTTCCCAGAAAAATAATCTGTTGAAGAAATTTAATAACTGCACGTTCCTTCTTTCCCTCTCCCCTATCCATTTTGGAGATGGGGTAATTTAACAGTACAGGATTTTCAGTTTTGTTTACAAGGCTAACAGAATCATTGTCAGTAAAGATCTATAGAGAAGCGCCCCCCCCCCCATTTTCTTTAAAGCACTGATCATGGAAGCCATCTGAGGTGCATACATAGTCTTGCATTTTAGACACTGTACTATCAAAATTAATTTTAATATATAAAACATTTAGTCTTCAATCCTGTCATCCCTGGAAGGGCATCCTAAAAGCTGTTGGACATTGTGGACTTCCCTTTCTACTAGCAGAGAGGGCTGTCTGCCTCTGGAAGCATTTGCAATGTGACAGCTGAACGTCCTCCCAGCATTTGCTCCTATTCCAGTGCTCTTGCAGTGGTGGGAAGAAAGAGGGCATGTCAAGGATGGACTGAGGAATGCTTTTGATCCCCCTTATCCAAAGCTCCGCCATGTGCCCAACAAAGGTGAGAAACTATGTCAGTCCTCGATCGGTGCAGTGATTTTCTCTGAGGAAAACCTGAGAAGTAAATGGGAAAAAGGAGGAAGCACAAGTCCTCCATACTTGTGGCCCAGCTGGTGCAAGCCCAGGAGGACTGAGCAGTGGCGGTTCCATCACGACGGTCTCCCACTGCCCTGTCCCCATAGGATTGTCTGCTGACTGCTATTTCTCTCTGGGGAGAAAGCTGAGAACCCTGCTGAGAAGAGTGATTAATCCTTTCTTCACCCATCCTAGAGTAAGCAAATGCATCCTATGGACCAACCATGGTGGACCTCTTTCAGTTCAAGGGCCAAAATCAGTTTCAGAGCTCTTGAGGACTGTGCCAAGTGATGGGCAGGGCCAGGCAGCATATTTTAGCTTAAGGTTCTTACTGCTAGTAACTAAGCCTCAGCAGAGGTGTTTCAAGGTTTTACAATAGGAAAAATGTTCGATAGTTTCTTGGGTTTTGCATAACTGGTGGTTGAAGGCCATAGCAAGGTGATCTGGGGATCCTGAATGGCTAGATTGTGATCACAGCAGAGCCAGATTCATCACCCCGTCAGTCAGTGAGTGGATGGCCTATTTGTTACTCATTACATCACAGAACATATATTCTTATTACATAATATAGTGCAGATTTCACATGTGACACATATTCAAAATATACTTTCTTCATTAAAAAAGAATCCATTCTGAAGGATATCTAAAGCTGACCAAAAAAAAAGCTCTGATGTGTAAGGTTGAACAAACTGTCATCACATTTTGGGTGTGCTGCTCAAATACAGTGTGCCAGTCAAGGGATTATTACAATACTTAAAAAACAAAGCATTTGAAGGTTGGAACCAATGCTAAAACATTACAACTAACCCATCCTGATAGCAGGTAGCAAGCTCACTTTTTAGACAGACAGACAGACAAGCAATTCACGTCCTTCCAACCCTTTCCTGCCACTGCATCTCTACAGTGAAGAGATGCACAGGATGAAAAGGAGCAGGAAACACAGTGACTATAACAAGCTGCTTGCTTGTTAAAAAAAAGAAATATTTATAGAATTCCTCCTGAAGAACTTGAGCACAACAGAAGAAAAAACCAAAACCGCAGCCTAAAAATTGGATAAGTGCAAAATACTATTGGATATAAAAGGGAAAGGGTATTTGTTTCTGGAACGTTTTGGGGACATGTCCATATGAAGAAGCACGTCTGAATCTGGGTTCTAAGCATAGATCCCACAGTCCTGAATAGTTCTCTCCAAAAATAGAGCAAAAGTTTTCAAGCACTTTGTGTGAGGCTAAGAGGAACAAAGCACTGCACCAACTCTGTGCACTTCCCCATGTTAGCTTCTGCTATCAAAACACCCTAATTTATTGCCTTCTAACCATATTATTCAGAGGGAACCAACTCTCTTTTGCTTGCTTTTTATTTATTGCTAGAGAGCTAGGGTATTGGCCAAGTTAGGTCCAAGTTTCCACTCTATCCACAAATACATTCGCAAACGAATTAGTTCAGCTGGGGAAATATTGTTGTATGAAACGTTTTCATTTCTCTCTGTTTTTTTGGAATTTCTAATTTATTTCTAATCTCCAAGCTTTTATTGACAGACAGATAAGGCTAGGGCAATTGGAAAGTCAGCCAGGCCTAACAAAACACACTTTAAAAAGCCAAACAAAACACACACTTCCAGTGTAACCCTAGGCATGTTTACTTGGAAGCACATCACATTGTAGCTAATGGGACTTACTCTCCTATCCTTTTACAGGATTTTCTTCCCTCAGATCTCTTCTCATGTCTTTTCTTTCCCTTGAAGAAACTGGCACAGCAGCAAATTGTTCTGGGAAACTGTCACATAGCTTCCTTTTGCTATCACTTCATTCTGGTTTTGTAGATACAAAGTGTATATGATACATTTATCTAATTCCAATAATTTCTCCAAGCTCTGGTTCTATCAGTGCAGCTGTACAAGCCCATCCCCGTTCTCTTTTTCAATATTCTTCTTTTCTTGAGTAGCTTGACACCACTTTCTTACTAAAGCACCAGGAGCAGAAATAGGTAGAACAGCACAGTGACAAAGCTACCCCGCACTTGGAGCCTGTTTCTCTGGTTATACTTTATCCTTTTCACGGAAGCGGCCAAGTCATGGACATTCTGCGCCTTATTACTGTCAGTCAAAACGTTCCCTTTTATTACATGCTCCTATTGTTTCATGGAGCCAGGGAAGTGTCAGTCAAGAAAACCACTCTAGCACAGTCATATTCGGGGTTATTGTTGTAACTCTGTCCGAGCCTGGATGTGGGAGATCTGCAGAACTGGCAGAAGCAACTGGAAAGCGTCTTGGATGTAAGAGGCGCTGTTTGAAGCCTAAAAGTGAAAACCAGAACAGCCGTCATACTTTGCATAAATGATCCTTACTAACCATAGGGTTTGCCTTTGTTCAGCATCTCACATCCGGTCCCCAAATTGATCAGTGGGATGGACTAGTGGGGCAGGATGCAGCAACAGTGTGCAAGGAGAATGACTGGGGCACAGAACATCGCATGCGGGAATCCAAATCTGTACCCATCCACCCCTTTCGAGTGTGTGTGTTTATTATTTCAACAAATTGCTCATAGGCTTTCCACTTCTCTGTGCATGCACCTTAGATATTAAAAGTTTGTCCAATTATGTGCCAAGTTTTATAAAGTTACAAAGCACAATCTCATCTAATCCAAGTGTAGCACTCCAAGCATTTAACATCCCTTCCTCCACCCTTCCTTCCAACCAATGAAAGTGACCACTCACATCACAGGATTACTCTTTTGGTAATCTGATTACAGAAATGTTTACAATATGAATTGGGTGCAATAGCACCATAACAATAGCAGATCCCTCGACATATAATGATTGCAGTTGTCAGCCAATCACTTCAAAGTCATAGCCGGTAAGCATTCATCGTCCATCACTACCTAAGTGCGAGTGTATTACAACTGACCTCCAAAAATACTCCAGTGATTAAAGGGTTAAGAACATCTGCCTTCTCTTCCACCTGGAAAGACAGATATTTGCATTTTAAAATGGAGCATAAAAAGGAATTTGACATCCAGTCTTAAAACTGATTTAATATAGTTCCATGGATTTTTATCAGTTAAGAATCCATCTCGTATTTTTAAAATATGAAGCTCTAAAGAAGCATTCCACGTCGAGAGTGTGCTACATACACAGTGGAGTCAAATGCTCAGCTGCTATGCTAAAAGAAAGTAAGAAAACCAGCTGTAGTACCGGAATGCCAAATTACGGGAAAGGACAACATGAGCAAAAATAATACTGAGAGGGCTACCACAGAACGCGTCTTCAGAGTAAATACATACTATGCAATCAGTGCATATTTCCAAAGAGGGCAAGGGGAAAAACCTCAGCAGGAAGGTACATCCAGCAGGTAAAGTGTTGCATATCACTCAGAAAGCTTCAGCTATTGGGTGGTTTAGAATAAAAGCAATAAGAATAATAAGAGGGTAGCAAATCCTTAAGCCTAGTTGATACTTCCCACAGAAGTTGTCAAACATCAAGCAGCAAAAGAATCATTCTTTTTTTCTTTTTTTAAATAGAAAGCAGCAACAGAAGGGAAATTATCTAATATTGTGCTGAGAGCTGCAGCCACAAAAGATCAAGGGTGCCCTCCTTTAAAAACAAACAACAGAGCAACACACTAAGTAGCATAAGCGGAAGGGCGCCTTTTCCAGTCAACATACTACACTACGGCTGCATCCTTCTGTTATCACATAAGAAACTTTTTGACTTGACAACTTACCCCTGCAACTGTTAAGCAGGTAGCAAATTCCTTAGAAAGAGATGACAGTTCTTTACACAGGACAATGGTCATTCTAGGAAAACATAAAGCGCAGTAAATAACATTTATTTCCTTCTTTATCAAATGCTGTCGGGTGTGGGGCCTTCTACACATGGAAAAAACATGGAAGTTCTCAGTGGGGCACTTAGGATCTGAGAAATGGCAGTGGGCACTCCCTGCCTTCTATGCCTGTGCTCCAACCTGCTCCCCTGCACTGCAGCTGAACCAGGTGGGGGGCAGGTTGAAAAAAGCAAGTACTGGTGGGTTTATGCAAGAAGAAAAGGTGGGTTGCAATGGTGTGATACCTAAGCACTGCAGGGTGCGGGTGTTGAACTTCTTTCACCCCAAACACTGAAGGGCCATTTCAGAATTGAAGGCCATTTCAGAAAAGCTCGGATCACATTTCAGAGATGCGTGACGTCAAAAGCAAAGGAGATGAGGCCGAAATACCAGCGTATGTTAGTTTAACATTTCTTACTGACAGTAGATAGCCTTAGGAAAGGCATTTTGACCTTTTTGGATGAGGAAAATGTACAAAAGCTGGGAAAATGCCGCACGACAGCTGGGGGAGAGTGGTGAAGCCAGGCGGAGAGGTCATGGCTGCCTGCGGGACCCTGGGACTGCATGCAGGGCAGGCTTGGCCCACAGGCCTGAGATGTCCACCCACACCTCCTGTCAAGCCTGCTACTCCAGTTTCAAGCTTACATTTGATTAGATGGGGAAAGATGCAAAATGAACCGAGATTAAACATTAGATACAGTGCGGTCTAGTACGTCCCTTGTTGATTTCAGAAATGCTATGAGAAATTGTATAGTTGCATCAAAGCCAATAAGAATATTATCTTAGCCATACACGGCAGAACGGTCTGGCATGGTCAGTCTTACTGTGAAAGGGCTTTGGCTTGGTGTATGGCCAGCACCTCTTCCTTCTGACCATGAAGAACCAATGCAGCAGTTTTGTGGAACACTTCAATGGAATAAGCTGTCAACTCGGCCAGGCTCCTGATTGCAAATGTGTGAATATCCTGCAGAAGTTAGGAGAGAGATGTCAGTCTACTGGTGTGCTGTCTATGTGAACATAAATTTCCCACCCACTGCAATGGATTCACACAGAGATTAACTGCAAGGCAAGGCAAAGCAAAGCACCATCAATTCTCAACATAGACTGTGTAACTAAATCCACAGCTTGATTGCACTGTTCTTCTGGTTCAAAGCATTACCTCTACTGATTTTTTGTCCTCTTGCTCAGTATCACCGAGGCCCGCTTGCTGGTCTCCTTCATTCTGCCTTCCTTCCTTTGCAGTTTGCCTACTGAAGGTTTTGGCCATTTCTCGAACAGAGTCCCTTGCCTGTCCAAGAAGAGCAAGAGGGTCATCAACACATGTTTGAAGTGATACAGGAGATCACCCTGTCCATCCTGCATACGGAAATGTGAGTGTGCTTGGAAACAAGGATCCCCTTAGCAATTTGTTGAAGGGAATCAAAACTAGAGTTGGAAGTCTGCTGACTTCAGAAATGATCTACAAAGAAGTCAGTTTCTTTGTATAAATAATTTTCTTCCTCCAGAGATTTGATCAAAGTCAGAGTTGAAATCTTTCAGAAGCACTAAGACTGCTTTTAACTCAACACAAGCAAAACTTATGCACATGAGGAAGGGGCAGACAGGCAGTCGTATCCTCCCTGCAACGCTTTCTCCAGAGGAGTCAGTGAGGATCCTATTTATGAAGTGATGCTCTTGGGCAGCAGGCAGCGCCCTCCCACTCACAACTCCAGGCACTGAGACCCAAGCCTGCTTCCTTTGGCATGGCCCTGTCCGAGTCCTGGTCATGCAACAGCAGGATAGCATGTTCTCAAGCATGCAGTTGAAAAAAGGGGCCACCAAAGGAATTATAGCTGTGCCAACACAGAGACCTGGCAAGTGGCAATCCAAAGTCCTCAAGCTTATGTCACTCTGTACCTTCGAGGGAGGAATAAGTCTCGTGTTTTGATTTTAGTTGTCAAGTATTTACTACAAAGGAATTCAGTACAAGGTGTTTAAATAGGAAGCAACAGTCTTCCTCTTGGAAAATCTTCCCAGTCTTTCTATAGAAATTTATTTTCTTGATTTTCTGAGAGCTTGTTTGTTGTTGCCCAAAGGTTGTATAACTTGAATGACTGGTGGAGATCACATGCTGAGAGGCTGGGTCCCTAAGTTTCTTAGGGATGTTCTGGGAAAAGTATTTCAGGAGTGGAAATGATAGCGAGACAAGCTGGATAGATTCACTGGTGTAGGCCATATGGAAAATGCATTGTTAGGAGGCTTGGAAGCCATGCTGGCTAAAGTAGGTGAGGCTGTTGGTGGCACTTGTAAATAGCATGATCAGTACCCTTGTAATAGTACTACCTTCTAGGAAGCAACTGGTCTTTATAATAGTACAAAGGAAGCCTGTAAAAGTGGTAGTGAGCATAGTCATTCCTCAGCATATCAGATCAGTGTCTTAGCAGGACTCCTGAGAACACTAAGGTAACCAGTACCTGAAAGTGGATTACAGGCATGGTAGATGGTACAGTTCTAGGAGAAGCCCTCAAGATACTCATTGCTGGAAATGGAGGCCAGGCATTGGAGAGCATAATGTGAGTTACATTCGTCCAGGACCCTAAACTTCTTCAGCAGTGGGAATGGCAGGTGAGGAAGCAATAGCAGTATTAAAGGTCTAGCCAGCTCTGTTGGAACCAATACAAGTTCTGAATCAATAATAGATTCAGTCTGATGGGTTGACTTTTTTCTTTTTCTTTGTTTTGGTTCCAAAGCCCTACTAACTGCAGGATATTTTGAATGGAATTTAGTCCGCTTCATTTGCTCACTATTGATCATGGGTGCCAAAGGGCTAGTCTTGTGCCACTGGGCTAAGAAGGTGGCCAAAGGTGTCTTCCAAAGGGGCAAGCTGGGGAGGGCTGCCTCCCCCATGGGGTCAGATGAGGAAGCAGGTGAGGTAGTGTGCAGATCTGTGCAAGCAAATCTCCTGCCTTGAAGGCTGTTCCCAAAGGAGGGAGCAAAGGTCTGCCAACCTATTTCTCCAGGTCTGTTTAATAAAGACCTTACAATGGGAGCAAGAGTTTTCTCTATGGGTCTCCGAGACACAGAAGGCACTTCAACTGCCCATTGGATGATAACAGCACTTTTTAAAGATGGAGGCTATGTGCCACTAAAGAGAAAAAGGAGGAACCAGGGGGAAAGTTCAGAAAAATATAGGATAAAAGAAGACACCCCTACTTAGTGCCACAGAAGGCAGAAGAGGAAGAGAAAAGAAGAAAACCAAATATGTTAAAGCTGTGAGATGTAGGACACTCCAAAATGCTGCTTATCACTGTGGTGAAAAAGAAGGAACTACAAGACAAGTGGGAGCTGCATCTGGAGCATGTACAGAGTAAAGCAGCTGTTTAACTCTAGAACATAGTGATTGCTGTTCTTTGCAGGCACATAAACCCACATGTCTGAGTCAGAGACCGAAAAGCAGATTTTTTTTCTCTTTAACAGCGAATAACCTTAAATGTATTGCAATAAAAATGGACCCAGAAATAAGCAGTTTTTCAATCCTATTGCCACTGAGTGGTTCTGCAAATTACTGCAAGAGGGTGTGGGACAGTGTGGTGACATCCTGATTTGCAGAATTCATCTTTTTTTGAATATACCATTTGTTAAAAAGATAGCATAGGGAATGCCACCCCTCATATTTCAGGGCCTGCAAGATACTGCCAGAAAAACTCCATACATAACCCCAACAGCCAAAACAGGACAAAAACAGATTCACTCACTTGGATTAGTTTGGCTGGCTTTGTAGAGACATGTACTTGGGAAAAGAGACCGGTTACCTCTTTTGAGAAGTCTTCCTCATCTGCAAGCGACAGGAGACAGATGTTGAGTGCTTTATGTAACCATGCACCTAAAACTCTGTTATTACTTTTGCTTCTGAGATAATGACGGTACCCCTCTATCCTTCAATGGCTGCATACACTTTGGAAAGTTCAGCTTGGCAACAGAAGTGTCTAGATAGACCTCTGGGGTAACTGGTTCCTGGTGACAACAGCACTGCCTATACCATTGTGAAGGTGAAGGACCTTGTCACACAATCTGCCTCCACCTCCAGGCTCCCTGGCATCAATCCCAATGTGCTCCATTAATTAGAAATATAGAGGTCTAGTTGTGAGAAAACCAGCACTTAAGCGTACGCACACACAAGTCTGTTGTATTTGCTTTGGCTCACATGCCTGAAGAGCACTAGCTAGGGGCTCTAAACTAATGCACATTACTTTAGTTTTTACTGAAGATATGAAGGACTGGTTCTTATATGATACTTTTGTACATGCAGATCTGCATTCATGAGTGGCCAGAACCTGAGACACTATTTTAAGCATGCTTGTATGTATATGGTTTTTATACTATGCATAATGTATTTTAAGGTTTTTGATCTTTGGAAAATACCCAGAGAGCTATGGAGTAGTACGCAAATGTAATAAATCAAAGCAAAATTAAACCTGGGTTACTTATAAGTTCTCTGCTTGTCCGGTGCTTTAAAGAATTTAAAATGAGGATAAAAAGTCAGCTGTTCGGCAGCTTGTTACACACCAGTACATGACTACACAACAGAAAAAGTTGCTAGATACGCATACATTTCTATGCATATGAAAGGTCAGAACTTTTAATAGATGTACAAACCGCTGCTAAACTTTTGCACACCTCACCCACTTCAGATAAAGTTATGACAGAAGGTTCTTTAAAATGCTAGAGATCAGCAACTGGCAGCCCACATATGGAATCTAGTGAGTGGAAAGCTGCCAACTGACCCTTGGACAGGTGGGAGGATGCTGAGGAAGGGTGGAGGAGCTGGGAGTAAAGTTCCTTCTGATTTTAATATGCTGCAAAGGAAGCAGGGGATGGATTATCAAAAATCAATAACAAACTTATTAACTAGATTAATTATAACAAAGAATTGGAAAGTAAAACGTGATTATCAATTGAATGACTGCTACAGAGAAGTTTGGGATATAGGTATTAATGATAGGTTGTGATGTTCAAGTGAAAAGGGGCTATATGAATAAGAATAATTTTGATGCTATTGGGGGACCATTTATTATGTATTAATAAAAGGAAAAGGATTTGAACCTTCACAAGATTCACTGCAGTTCTGGAAGGGCAACGGAGCCTCCTGAAAAGGTAAACGATTTAGCATGGCATTCATTGGTCTTGGTGGGAGGATGCACTGTTTTTGTGATGTTTTAGTAAAATTTTAATTGCATGTTTTTCTTTTAGTTGTATTTATAATTTTATAAATAATGTTTAAAAAGGAAATGAGGGTATTGGTGACATACTGGGCAAACATACAAATGTCTCTTTTACAGAGAAAGAGGGGAATATCACATGAATAGTTCTAGAGCAAACACCTGTTTCTGTTCTTCGTAAGAGCACAGTAAACAACCCTGTACTGAAGAGTGGTTCAGCTGGGGCCAAAGTCTAGTATGCTTTTCCCCACCCAACCCGATGATGGGGCTGAGGCAATCAGGCCCAGCATGAGCACACTGGCCCTCCCTGGCATGATGAGCCCTTCGGGGTAGATTCTGGTCACTGAAGAATCCATTTGATTAAAAAAACCTCCACATTTTATAGCCCAGGGATGGCGGGTCAAGCATAGCCAAGCTCACAGGTGCTCCTGTCGTTATTTACAATTGCAAATATATTGCCCTTTTCTGCAGCAAAATGGGGTTTATTCCTAGTAACTGTGCCTAACATCAGGGAGTCCTGGAGTCATGATTGTGCCATAATTTAAGTGAGCTGAAAATCTGAGACCGCACAGGTTCAGAGCACTTCTTTTCTTATGGATTGGCAGGCTGACTTTTGTTTGTTCGTTGCTCTAACATACCAAGAATAAGAATGTAAGAAAAGCCGTGCAGGATCAGGCCAACGGTCCACCTAGTCCAGCATTCCGTGCACACAGTGGGTGACCAGCTGCCCACAGGATCCCTCAGCAACTGGTCCATGCAGGCATGCCACCCCCCTGGTGACGGAGGCAGCACACAGTCTGCAGGGCCAGCAGCCCCTGACAGTTTCCTCCCACGTGAATCTGTCCAATCCCCTTCAAAGGCCATCCAGATTGGTGGCCAGCACCACCACGTCCCATGGCAGTGAAACCCATAGTTTCACTATATGCTGTGTGAAGAAGTCTTTCCTTTAATCTGTCCTAAACTTCCCACCGATCAGCTTCATGGAATGACTCCAGCTTCAAGTTTTATGGAAGAGGGAGAAAAATGTCTCTCTCTCTTCTTTCTCTACACCATGCATTACTTTAAACACTTTTATCATGCCTCACTTTACCCATCTTTTTTCTAAGCTGAACAGACCTAGTTGATGTAGCCACCCCTCGGGGGAGCTGCTCCAGCCCCCTGATCATTTTTCTTGCCCTTCTCTTTACTTTTCCCATCTCAGTAATGCCCTTTTTCAGGTAAGGCAATCAGAACTAAACATAATATTCCAAGTGTGGTTGCACCAAAGATTTGTATAGGGGAAGTAAGATTTTGGCACTTCTACTTTCTATTCTGTTCCTAATTATGCCTAGCATGGAGTTTGCCTTCTACAGACTAATTTCGCACAGGGTCAACATTTTCACTTAGTTGTCATCTATTACCCCAATATCCCCTTCTTGCTGAGTCGCTTCTAGTATAGAACCCATCAGTGTATCCTTGAAGTTGGGATTTTTTGCCCCAACATTTATATTTGCTTATACTGAACTGCATTTGGCATTTTGATGACCATTCTTCTAGCTTGGAGAGATCCCTTTGGAGCTCCTCACAATTCCTTTTTGTTTTACCCACCTAAAAAGGGTTAGTGTTATAAGCAAGTTTGGCCACTGCATTACTAACTCCTAATTCTAGATCATTTATGTATAGGTTGAAAAGCACTGTTCCTGATACAGAAACCTGTGGCTACATATTTTCACTGCAAGAATCCACCCTTTATTCCCACCTTCTGTCTTCTGTTCTTTAATCAGTTAGTGATACATATAAGGACTGCCCCTTTTATTCCATGGCTGCCTAGTTTGCTCAGTAGCCTTTGGGTAAAGGACTTTGTGAAAAGCCTTCTGCAAGTCCAAGCAAATGATTTCTACTGTATCACCCCTGTCTACATGCTTACTGACACTCTCAAAGAACTCCAACAGGTTAGTGATTCAAGTCTTTCTCTTGCAGAAGGCATGCTGGTTTTTTCAGCAGGGCTTGTCCCTCTATGTGCTTACTGCTTTTATCTTTAATGCTTTCAAACAGTTTACACAGAACAGATGTTAAGCTAACTGGCCTGTAATTTCCTTGATCCATTTTTAAAAATTGGTGTTACCTTGACCATTCTCCAATCCTCTGGTACAAGGGCTGATTTTAGGTTGAATATCTTAAATATTTGAGGTTAGAAGGTCAACAATTTCATGTCTGAGATCTTTGAAAACTCTGGGATGGACACCATCTGGACTGGATGACTTGCTGACTTTCAGTAGGTCAATAAGGTTGAGAATTTACTATGTGCCCTAATTTCTCGGACTCTTCCAGAATACATAAGCTTAGGGAGAGTGTCTGCTCTTCATCCTCTCCTGTGACAAAAAGAATTCATTCAGTTTCTCTGCAATCTCCTCATCCCACCTTGGTACTCCTTTAATTCTATTATCATCCAATGGCCCAATTGCTTCCTTAGCCTCTTTCTTCTGATATATTTAAAGAATTATTTTAGCCTTGATATTTTTACTGATGTACTCCTCAAACTGTTTCTTAGGATGGAGAAACAATTGGAAAGAACAGAATAGCAAGGGGTGGGGAGAAATGTGAATCATGTGCTCCAAAAGAAGAAACAAACGGCTGCCTAAAGACCACTGTAAGACCAGAAGTTCAGGCTCTAAAACTGCCCAGCTGCCCCACTGATACTGAAACAAGTCATTTGCCCATCTTGCGCTGTACTGGCAAGGGTTCGGACTGAGTCTTTCACAGCCCTAACCAAAGAAGCTGGGCATTGACTCTGCAACCTTTTGGATGTATAGCATGTGCTGTGCCACTAATCTATGATCCCCAGATCACCCCCTAGCTCAATCCTTAATGACAGCCAGTGAATACAGTGCTGGACTAGGACTCAAAGGTTCTGGGCTCTAGTCCCCACTTGGCCATGAAAGGTGCTTGATAACATTGGGCCAGTGACTGGCTCTCAACCCAATCGACTTCACAGGGGTTTCAGGATAAAACAGAACATAAAGAACAGGGGAACCTCCTTTATATTTTGAGTCAACCCTTGCCATCTAGCCAAATTTTGTCAACCCTGACCAGCAGCAGCTCTCCAGGTTTCAGGCAGATGTAACCCTGCCTAAAGATGATGGGGATGGAAATTGGGACATTTTGTGCACAAAGCACAAACTCCACTACTAAGCTATAGAGAGACAGAGGACCATATGGGCCAACTTGAGTTACTTGTAAGAGCAAACAAGACAGGATACAGCAATAACAACAATAATTTTAAAGCAATCCTTACTAGCTCAGATAGCAAAAGAGTCACTGGAAAAGGAGGCTGCTCCTGCAGTGCCACCTTGATTTTAAAATGGCAGTGACAACAGGTTGGATGGAAGGCAAGAAAGCATCTCTTACATAGGCAGCCTGCATAGCTCACAAAACAGCCCTGTGAGGTAAGTCAGGCTGAGAGTTCATGACTGGCCTAGGATCACCCAGTGAGCTGAGTGAAACCTAGACCCAGTTTCCCAACCACACCACAACTTTAGTTTGTTAAAAATAAACCATCTACCACAACTGACTTCCTTCCCATGAAGAACTCAGAATATTTTTCTTCCTTGCAATACAGGAATGCTGAACAGGGCTGCAGTGCTTTTCCAGCACAGGCCAAAGAAACCCCTGCTGTAGTCTTCATATCTCCATTGGTTAAGTGCAATATTGTGCATTTAAGCTTAGGCAGGAGATGCACAGCTACTTCTAGAGATTCAGGCAGTGGTCAACTCTGCGAGCAGAAACAATGAACTAGAACTAGAAACCTCATGGGTCCCTGTTGGATTGCTGGGCCTGGATAATGGAGACCTGGACTCCAAGTCCTGCTTGAATTTCACTGGGTCACCTTGGATGGGTCACTTTCACTGAACCCTCATCTAGTTCACAGGACTGCAGTCAAGGGAAAAAAAAAGGAGGGATCATCCCATGTACTGCAATGCAAAGCTTCTTGAAAGAAAAGAAAGATACACATGTAACAATGAATGGAAGTTAAATTACCAAAATATCGATGGTAGGAATAAGCTGGCCAAGGACATTCTTCTGAAAAAAGCAGATAAGCATAAAGGACAACCCAGTTTCAGGCTAGATATCAGGAAAAGCTTCCTCACTGTCAGGGCAATACGACAGTGGAACCAGCTGCCTAGAGAGGTTTGGGCTCTCCCACACTAGAGACATTCAGAAAGAAACTGGACAGCCACCTGAGTGGGATGGCATAATGTGGTGTCCTACAACAGCAGGGGGTTGGACTGATGGCCTGCATGGCCCTTTCCAACTCTACTATTCTATAATTCTATAACTCAGCTAATGTCCTGTGTTGTCCTAGACTTCCTTTAAGTCTATTCCATTCTAAAGAAATGGCCTCTGTCAGAAATGGAATAATGGCACGATGAACAATTGATATGACTCACTAGGCCTGCTCTTATTATCATTCTTCTGTCCATCATAAGCTACTGCCGCACACATATTGCAGAATTAATGAATTTGCCATTCAATCATTGTAGAAGTCTGCTTTCACAGTTGTATTTCAGAATTCTCATGATTACCTCTCTTTTCTTCTTCTTCATCATCACAAAATTCTGCTAACGAAAATGCTTCTTTGAGCTGTTCCAATTCGGCCTTTATAGTATCCAGCTCCTCTCCAGAGAGTGTGCTTATAACTGACTTCACCTGATTAAATGGAAAAAAGTCACAGAGAGAATCATAAACCCACTAGTAGAAAGGTTTTGTAATTGGTATGAAAAGTAAAGCAGCAGCACTAATGGCGGGCTACCCATGAAAGCAATGCTCTTTTTGAGAAGAGGAGCATAGCATCTGTATACCCTCCTTCTCCTCCATAAGGGAATACAATTTTAAAGCTGTCAAACTTCAAAATGCCAATTTTAAAAAAAATATCAATGGCCTAGCTGGTGAGAGCAATAAAAATGAAGAAAGCCTTTACTTTAAAACACTACACAAAGAGGAAAGAAACACCAAGGGAAAGCAGAAGGCTGTTTTCCCTGCTTTTACTGGTTTTCATTTACTTGTGCTCATGTGGAATCTACAGAAGGACTCATTCCCCAGAGTTTATACAGAGGAGTACCTAGGCTTATTCTGCTTCAACTCTTGAGAAGAGAAAATTGCTCAAGGCCATTACCTTTGATTCACTCTCTCTGGAAAGCATCTCTAAGGCTTCCAAATGAGAAAGACCCTGAAATTCATCAAAGAGTAGCCCATAATGGGCTTTCTTCTCAGTAGCCATGGAAACCTCAGTAGCTGTCCGCTGCTCTTCTCTCTCCTTTGCCTCTCGCAAGATCTACGAATGGAAAAGCTAATGCATTAGAACTCCTGTACTGAAAAATAAAATAATAGAGAAAAAGAAGTTCATGTCCGCAACATTTGGCATTCTACCATGAAACATTCTAAGGAAGGAGCATTTGTTCCTGAGAGCCCAGAAATAACCTACTCTTGTTGTGGGAGCTTGAATACCTGAGAGAGTGTGGAATTTCTGCTCATCAGACCTTTGGTTTTCTTGAATCCAGGGTCACCTTCAGCTATCACATCCATAGTCTTCTTACCAATAAATTCTAAGGCATCCAAGCCTCCAGTAATAACAGTTTTCCCCTAGAAAACAGATTTGCGCACTTTAAAAAAGAGGAGTGAAATACAAGACATGGCTTTGAAAGCATACGCTTATAACATAGCATAGTCACATGCTGGAAACCCTGGGAACAAATTATCACTATCCCTAAGAAGCTACAAGAAAGAATGCACCCTTTATTCTAACAGTTGAAACATCCAAAACAAGATAAAGTCTTTAACAAAAGCATATGATTATATGCAGTAAGATGCAGATACAGCCAAGAGTGTTGCATTTCTGGTTAAAAGCATATGATTATATGCAGTAAGATGCAGATACAGCCAAGAGTGTTGCATTTCTGGTTTTTATGGCTGAGTTTGGTTTCAGATCAATGTAAGATAGACAAAGAATCCTTCCTCCAGTGAAGAGAGAAAGACACACCTACTCTGGTAGGAGGGAGTTTCCTAGCTCAAAAGAGTAATTTGGGCTGGGAAAGTGATTGGAGAGGGAAGCATAAGCTATTTCTACAGGGCCTCACATATTTGCCATGCCAAGAAGGACACAGGACCTTCCCCCTCTTCATTAGCCTTCATGCTAATTCTAAATATTTATTTATGCCACTCAGCATTTGGTTAATTTCAGCATGCTGTGTTTTTAACTAAGCTTTTATCTGCTCTTACCTTATTTGTTGTATCTCATTTATTATGATTTATGTATTGAATATTGTTTGATTATGCATTTTAACGTAAGGTTTAACCCATTTCATGAGGGTTGTTATCCTGAAAAGAGGACTATAAATTTATTAAATAATTACTATATTATTCAAAGCACTTGCTCATTATTACTGCACCAAAGTTGCATTCTGAACCTCGTCATTACAAAGTTTAACACCATCGCTACCTCTTAGCAAAGTCCACAAACTACAAGATAATGTCTCTTTTGCAACTGCATGCATAAGACATTCAACCTCTGTCATCCATTCCAATTAAACATGAAATCTAGGTTGAGCAATGCACAGAGCCCGGTACCAGGAGGAAATCCTCTTCCATGAAGGAATGCCATCCTGTTTAAAATCTGAAATCTCAAAACTAGAACTTCTATTTTTAGTCAGGCTCTCTAATTTAACACACTTCTCCAACAGGAACAAGCTCTAGACATGTCACAGGTTTCTTACTCATAACCAACAACTCAGTTATTAATAGTCAGAAATTTTACACAGGGCTCTGCAACTGAATGACCATTCAAATGATCCACAATGTAGCAACTTCAGCATGAATAGAGGGGAGAACAAAAGATTCAAAATAAAACAAAACAATGTTCATGTATTACTTTCATTCTTACTCACTGTGCTTTGAACAGCAGCAGAGATGGTAGAAAACATTCCAAAAGCACCACTAACAGGTGAAGGTTCTTCAGTATCTCCTTTGCCCTTGTTACCTTCTTCAGACTTCTGGCTTTCTGAAATGAAGGCAGCAATAGGATTTCAGTATTACAAAATCCTAGAATCAGTTCAATATGTGGGAATTATTATTATTATTATTATTATTATTATTATTATTATTATTATTACATTTCTATGCCATTTCTTGCCGAAACCTCGGGGCGGCTTACAACACGATAAAATACAATGAAATACAATAGAATTAGAGCTGTACCATTGCAAATTGCCCAGAGAGGTACTGATTCAAATAAGTCAATGTCTCTTTGTGCATTTAAACTATTATTAATTTTATTTCTAAAAGGTATTAGTTACTCAGTAGATCTTATCACTCTTGACATTTAAATAAAATCTACATCAAATCAAAATATCACAACAGCTTAAAAAATATCAGGTAAAACAGCAACTAAAAGTAGCAGAGACTAAAGTGGGCAACATAAGTAGGTCTAAAAGCATATCACAAAGATAAAACTATTCAAAAACACAACATTTATTTATCCATTCATACATTTATATACCATCTATCAGTCAAAGAACCAACAGAAACAAACCAAGTATTAACACTGCAGAAAAATTAAAGTTCTTGTCTGAAGAGTTAACAAAGTAGGGAGCAGGTAGACTTCTCAGGGGAAGGTATTCCATAACTTGGGAACTATTACTGAAAAGAACTATTACTCTGCAATAGCCACTCCCAACCTACTTCCAATGCAAGGACACTCTGAGCAGGTCCACAGATGTGTAGGAATATAGTAATGCGTTTTTCTGGATACATTCCACCGTGTACAACTAGCAGTGCGTCCCTTATGTTTATAGAGATCTGCATTCTCATCTCTACTGAGCTAAAGGGTACTGGGAACATGCAGCAGTGACTGCCTATGTGCCCTCCATTCATCCCATTCCAACTTCCCATCCGAAGCTATTCAGCAGGAACCACTCCAGGTTCACATCTTTCTTCTAGCAAAGTGATATGTAGGAATCTCAGACAAAAGAAGGCAGTAGAAACAACTTATGAAAAAACCCACAGTTTCTAAATAAGGCTGTGACAGTGGAACAGCCTGTTTCTCTGGCAATAAAGAACCAATTCCCTTGAGGAAGATGTAGTTCAATTAACATAGCATCATTCTTCACAGTTCCACAGTCAGCCAACTTCAACTTGCTTTCATCCTAAATAAGAACTGACCTTCCATAGCATCTTTAGCCTCAGGTGGTAATTCGCTTGGGCTGGGGATCCCAAGAGAGGTCTCAGCTTTTTCAATGACGTTTGAGATTCCATGACCTAAAGAAAGCAGAGATATTACTTTAGTCCTAAGGAAAAAATAATTACTTTGTCAAGCAAGCAAAAACTAGGTCAATACAGTGGAACTGTTCGAGGTAGTATACTGCATTTGGGAAAAATACAAATAAATGAACAACGCATGCCCCTATCTAGCCATAAGCATAATATTCATTTTAAACAAAGTACCTTTTTTTCTTTCATTAAGAGGGAAGGTACACATTTTGTAAGAACTTGTAAACTGTCTACAATTGTAATACACTTAAACTATTTCTTGATCAGTTTGATAGTTGTTCTGCATTTTCTCTAGCATTCCACATTTCTAGTATTAACTTTTAAAAACAAAAGAGAGAGGAGAGGGATAGGAAGCTAACATTCTTGATAAGAAAGTTTATTTCATAGAATCATTAAATCATAGAATAGTAGAGTTGGAAGGGGCCATGAAACCATTGAGTCCAACCCCTTGCTGTTGCAGGACACCACATTATACCATCTCACTCAGGTGGCTGTCCAGTTTCTTTTGGAATGTCTCTAGTGTGGGAGAGCCCACCACCTCTCTAGGCAGCTGGTTCCACTGTCATATCGCTCTGACAGTGAGGAAGCTTTTCCTGATGTCCAGCCTGACTCTGGGTAGTTGCAACTTGAATTGATGATTCTGTGTCCTACACTCTGGCATCAGCAAGAAGAGATCTTGACCTTCCTCTTTGTGACAGCCTTTGAGGTACTAATAGAAATTACCATGTCCCCCCGCAGTCTTCTCTTCTCAAGGCTGAGCATGCCCAGTTCTCCCAGTCTCTCTTCATAGGGCAGTGTTTCCAAACCCTGGATCATTTTGGTTGCCCTCCTCTGGAACCTTTCTTATTTTCCTGCATCTTTCTTAAATCTGAAATCTCATGATTTGGAAGTAATACATCTGTTCATGCATTCCAAAATAGCACTTGCCCTTTTGGTGGCTGCATTGCATTGCTGGTTCATGTTTAGCCTATTGTACACAATTACTCTGAGATCTTTTTTCTTTTCAGTTCTGTGAAGCCACATATTTCCCATTTTGTATAAATGCATTTGGCTCCTTTTTCTTAGGTAGAGAACTTGACACTTGTCCTTATTGAATCTCATTCTGTTGCTTTGAGCCCAATGTTCAAGTTTATCAGGATTGCCCTGGAACTTCATTCTGTCTCCTAGGGTGTTTGCTATTCTACCCAGTTCTGTATCGTCTGCAAATCTGATTATCTTTCCTTGTACTTTCTCATCTAAATTGTTAATAAAGATGTTGAAGAGCACTGGGCCCAAGACTGAAGCCTGTGGCACCCCACTAGTTACCGCCATCCAGTTTGAGAACATGCCATTGATGAACACTCTTTGTGTCCGATTTAGCAGCTAATTTTGGATCCACCTAATAGTTTTTCCATCTAATCTATTTTTTGCTAATTTGCATATCAGAATGTCATGTGGCACTATATCGAAAGCTTTGCTAAAGTCTAGGTAGATTCTGTCCACAGTGTTCTCTTTGTCCATTTGGAAGGTTACCCAGACAAAAAATGAGATTAAATTAATCTGACAGGATTTATTTTTCATAAATCCATGTTGGCTTCAATTAATCACTGCATTTTCTTCAAGATGCTTGTAGATGGATTTTTTAATCATTTGCTCCAGAGTTTTTCCAGGGATTGATGTCAGACTAACTGGTCTATTCAAAGTTAGTTCAAAGATTCATCTTTTTTCCCTATTTGAAGATAAGGACAACATTAGCCCTTCTCCAGTCATCTGGCACTTCTCCTATATTCCAAGATTTATTGAAGATAATAGCCAGTGGTTCTGAGAGTTCCTCCCCTAGCAATTTTATGACTCTGGGATGGAGTTCATCGGGCCCTAGAAATTTGAAAGTGTTTATTCCATCTAGGTATTCCTTGGCCATTTGTCTATCAGTCTTGGGCTGCCATCTCTCACATCCAGCTTGTAATTCCTCTTGATTGCAGATTTCCTTGTGGGAGAAGACTGGGGTGAAGTAGGAACTGAGTGGCTCTGCCTTTTCCTTGTTGTCTGTTATCACTCTGCCATCCAGTTTAAGTAGCTGGACACCCTTCTCTTTCTCATGTCTTTTGTTCTGGATGTATGTGAAGAAGGCTTTCTTCTGCTGCTGCTTCTGCTGCTTCTGCTTCTTCTTCACATTCCTTTTTCTTATTTTTGGCTCCCTTTAAATTTAGCCAGATGCTTTCAATGGGGCTGCTAAGTTCCTCTTCTTGTATTTCTGTGCAGATACATGTGTCTCTTGCATGTAGTGCAACTCCACCTCCCTTCTGTCCTTTCTGTTTTTCTTGGACAGGTTGATCCATCAATTGTAGAATTCCAGCCATGTGAGTCTTCCCACCAAGTTTCAGTTATTCCTATAAGATCCTAATTGCCCTTGTGAGCTCAAGTTCATGTCATTTCTGGGCATTGGTGTAGAAGTTCATTCTCGCTGTGCCCTGGTTTTCTTCCTATGCTTTTTTTGGGAGACTGGTGTTGGGCCCTGCTTGAGGTTTTTTCTCTGCTGGAATATATAAGTATTTGCCAGGTGATGGTATGCCATGCTGCACATCTCCCTCCCTATAGGTTTTTAGTTTAAAGCTCTCCTGATGACGTTTTTCATGTAGTGACCAAACATCTGCTTCCCGTTCTTTGTGAGGTGCAGCCCATCATTTGCCAATAGTCCACCTTCCAGGAAGCTTAGCTTGTGTTCCCAGAATTCAAATCTCTCTTTACATTATCACCATCGTAGCCAGTCATTCACTTGAAAGATTTTTCTTTTCCTAACAATTCCTCTTCCACGTACTGGTAGGATTGAGAAGAAGACTATCTGGGCCCCGTTATATTTTATTTTCCTCCCTAGAGCTTCGGAGTCTGATGTTATTTCAGCAAAGCCTCTCATGGCAGTGTCATTAGTTCCCACATGGAAGAGAAGGAAGGGATATTTGTCAGTGAGTCGTAAGAGTTGTGCGAACTTGCAGGTTATATCTTTAACCAGCATACTTGACAATCCTCTGGGTCACCATGACATAAGTATTTTTCCATCCTGCGCAAGAGGGAATCTCGCACAATGAGCATTCTTCTCCTTCTCCTTGCAAACTTTGCTATCCTTTTCCTTGCTTGATTGGTCTTTTGTCTCTTTTGCAGAGTTACCCAGTGTGTCATGTAGTTCTTTCACAGTGGGTTTCTCACACGTCTTTTCCTCAAGTAACTTGAAGTGGTTCAAGAGTTCCACTGCTTCCATGGGTGCAGAGTGTTTTCTAGGTCTTCTGCATCTAACTGTCCCTCTGTTCCAGTGAGTTTCCTCATTTTCCCTTCTCTCAGGGTTCTCTTCTGCTGCCTCAGCCTGCTGTTGCTCTTTCTGCTTCTGGACTACACTGACCTGTTGCAGCTCCTCCGCTCTGTCTAGAAACTCTTCACTTTCTTTTACTGTCCGAGGGTAGGCACTCACTGCTCCTGTGCTCTCGCCTTTTCCTGTAATGCGGTACTAGAGTACAGCAGTTGCAATGGTTGCAGGCCACCACTGTGGAGTCTCCCTGGTGCATTGTTTGTGCCACCATGTGCGGGGAGGAAGTAAGGTGAAATAAAGGAAAGAAACAAGGAGGGGGGAGATAAAATGTTAGGGCCCTCCCCCTTGGCCTCCTCCACCAAATTGCTCTCCCTGTTCACTTGATCCCCAGGATCCTGGCTGCTTATATCCCAGAAGCCCTAGACCAGGTGGCAGTTTGCTCTGATGTGCTCCACTTGGAGTCAGGAACCAGAATGAATCACCTCACCCACACAACTGCTGCTAGCTGATCAGGCCACTCCCCTTCAGTTAATCAGCAATCAGCTAATCCAGAACTTCTCTTCAACTGACTCTTAGAAAATAAAAGACTTTAAGCTGGGCTAGTGCAGGCCTGTCTCTGCCTCGCCTCGACTCGCCTCTGCCTGCCTCTGTCTCCTCCACTACAACTCCTCCTCCTATTTGATTTTGACTGAAACATCTACTACATAATTTTTACAAGTCTTACCTACAGTAGCAACCGTCGCAGAAGCAGTTGAGAGGAGTGATTTTCCCCAGCTTCCCCAGTATCCCCATCCTGTTTGTGACTCCTTGATGACATTGGAGGCCTTTAAGGGGGGGAAAGGAAGTGACCAAACTTTACATTACATCTCTGGGATAAGATGTTCTTGTTCATTAACGGTACAGTGTAATACATACCTTTACATAGTGTAATACATACCTTAGACAGAAAAAAATCCAACAGTTCCCAGCTTCTCCCAACCACCTATGCCTCTTCCTGTCGAAATACACATAGGACTGCACCCTAATCTTATTTCCAGCCAGGAGAATGAAGTCAGGAAATATATATATTTATAATGCTATCCTATACTTGTTTTACACTATGAAATAGCAATATATGTTTGATTGTTAGCTGGCTTAGACACTTAGTATGGAAAGACTAGATAAAAATTTAACTACCAAATTGAGTTGTATATGGTGGTATGCAGCTCTCAAATTAATTATCATAGTATGTGAGAAATTAATTCCATTTTCAAGTTACCTGTTTGGGTGCAGCTCTTTTCTTGATTTCTTATGAATTAATTTGTTTAGGAACGCCACATTCCAAACATATGTATACCAACCTATGAGCAATGGCGCACAGGAGAGTCCTGATATAAAGCAATACTAATTTTGTAGTTATTAAACCTGCAATCTATATCAAATAATTATTTGCAATAGTATCATTTAAGTATTCTAAAATAATTCAGAAAAAATAATAAAAATGGGATTTTTTCCAGTAATTTCTGAAATTTGATTCAAGAAAGACTCATAGGATAGCTATACAGAAAGGAACAGGATGACAGATCTCCCAGAGCTTTGTGGGACAGAGACCAAGATTGCCTCATTACAAACCCTTGCTGTTTTTATATTACCACTGATTGTGTGCCGCTATTTCCACCATACATTGCTCAAAGTGATATACAGTTGGAAAGAAGAGTGATAGGCTGAGCAGATAGACAGCAAAGTTGAGAAAGTAAACAATGGAGTTCAAATAGTTTAGGGAACATATTGACATTGATTTGCATGAAATGGTGGTAATTTGTATTCCACTACTACTTTGAATATTCAGCCTTTGATAAAGTACTGCTACAGGGCAAACTGGACACTACAGATTAACTGTGGGTTAAACAGTTAACCCACAGTTAACCCACAGTTAACAACCCACAGTTCATAGAATCATAGAATAGTAGAGTGGAAAGGGGCCATGAAGGACATTGGGTCCAATCATTTGCTGTTGCAGGACAGCAAGTTGCACCATCCCACTCAGGTGGCTGTCCAGTTTCTTTCTGAAGGTCTCTAGTGTGGGAGAGCCCAAACCTCTCTAGGCAGCTGGTTCCACTGCTATAGTGCTCTGACAGCGAGGAAGCTTTTCCTGATATCTAGCCCGAAAATGGGTTGTCGCAACTTGAATTGATTATTCCGTGTCCTACACTCTGGCATCAGCAAGAAGAGATCTTGACCTTCCTCCTTGTGACAGTCTTTAAGGTATTTGTAGAGGGACATCATGTCCCTTCTCAAGGCTGAGAAGAGAAGTTAACCTATAGTTAGAAATTATGTTAACTGTGGGTTGTTTAACCTATGATTCACCTATAGTATCCAGGTTCATATGGGACATAGCAATCCCTAATTGGATTATGAGCATTCGGAAAGGCTGCAGAATACACCCAGGAGAAGCTATAGCAAATGGTGGGTTAATTACATGCAAGCAGACTAAAATAAGGTAAGGCAGTGCTTACTGAGAAGAAGGCCTTTTCAGTGGCGATACCCCAGCTGTGCAATATACTCCACAGAGAAGCTCACCTGGTGCCTACACTGTGCCCTTTTCAGCAGTAGGTGAACAAATTTTTCTTTTGTTTTTTAGTCCTTCAGTTTTGTGTTTAAATGTGGTGTAGTTTGTTTAGATCTCTGCACTGCTACTGGTTTTTACTCTGGTTTTACTATGCATTAAACTTCTAGAGGTTTCACATTTTATCATGCTGCATTTTGGGGTTTTATCTTTTGTGAACTGCCCAAAGTGTTCCAACTAATGAACAGTACTGAAATATAATGAATATAATAAGGATATAGAAGCAAGCTAGGGTGAGTACAGAAGAGATGCAGCAACATCAAAATGAAAAGGCCTTTTCAGGCTGCAGTTCTATATACATACATATATAAGTATGTTATCTCTTTGAGTCTTACTTCTGAGAAGACATATATAGAAGTCACTGCTGCTTTTCTATTCAGATACCTCCAAGCACTGAATAGGTATTAACCGTTATAGACTTCTACAGTTTCACCAAAGCAAGCAAGCAGAAGCGTTCCTTTTCTTTACATGAATACTCAGCAGGAAGCCACAACGACACTCTCCATAGCTGCATCCCCACCTTCTTTACATGGGGAAAGTTGCCCATTTCCATCTTGCTTCTCCATGACTCAGGTAGCCCCGAGATTACAAATATAACATAGGAACAAAGGAAACTGCTGTAGATTGAGTCAGACCATCAGTCCGTCTCGCCCAGTACTACCTACACAGACTGTCAGCAATGGCTCCCCAAGGTTTCAGGCAGGATTGTTTCCCAGCTCCACCTAGAGATGCCAAGGATTGAACCTGGGACCTTTTGCATGCAAAGAATGCCTCTCACCACTGACCCATGCCCCCTTCCTAATATCAGTGATGCATTCATGCACCCTTCCTAGTATCAGTGATGCATTGTTTCCATGCACAGAGAACTTATAAAACACAGCTGTATCTTCCCCCTACAGTTCTATGACAGTATGTCATGTTCACTGCATCTGAAGGGACCCTCTCAGTTTCTAAGTCTTGCTATCAAGTGTACTCGGTTGAAGCCATGAACACCAGGAAGTAAGCTAAAATTTAAGCACAAATACCTGCACATTCTGGCCCAGTGGCTCTTGTGAAACAGCAGCATTAGTGGTTCTGGCTTCAGGTCTCTTCCGTGTCATAGCCACAGGCCCAGCTGCTGTGTCATTAGTTTCAGCAGGTTCAGCCTCCTCTGTCTTCTGATCATTTTCTTTGGGCTCATATTTATCTTCTTGCAAGGACTCGCTATCCTTCTGGGACATGACCAGAGCCTATCCTAGATTTATAAAGAATTATTGTTAATCATACAGCCTAAGCCTATTCAGTTCCAGGCATATATCCCTAGAGCTCCGAGTAAAACTAGGCTGTCATTATCATTATACTTAATTTTGTCTCTATACTGCCCCATAGCCAAAGGTCTCCGGACAGTTTAGAACAGTACAGGATAAATTTTAATTAATTAATTAAAGGTACAAATAGCAAACATTTTACAACAGCTACCTTTTATTTGCGTGGTTTACTGAGCTTTTCTGAGCCCACCGCGCTCCTAGTCTGTCCTGGCATGTTGTCTGTCCTGGGAAACTGGAATGCTGCAAAGCAAAAGTATCAGCCTCTAGCTTCATCTTTGTTTCCAAGTATGCCTCTGGGCTTCAAGTCTTCTTAGAAAATAAACATGGTGAGTGGTCGGGCTGCAGCCCAGTGCTTTGTTTTGAAGCATGCCCAACTGCCCATAAAGAAGAGAGAGGCAGGCTGGAGCTGGCAAGGAAAGAGACATGTGTTTTGCCTGGGGGTTCTCTTTTTTTTTTTTTTTTTGGGGGGGGGGCACGTTAGCTTGTTTTGTTCCTTTCTTTTGCTATGGTATGGGTTCTATCTGGTTTTCTTTGGTGTGGGTCCGTATTTCTCTGAGCATTACTAGTTGGCCTTCCATGAAATGGATATACTCTGCTTGTGGTGGCAAATATGTAAGTTGCAATTGTGGCTCAGACCCACACATCTGCTTTGTACTTAATTTCTTGGCCAAGCTACTTGTCCCTAAGCTTTATCAGTATGCTATGAAATGTGTGCTGCACCAGAAAGAGTGGTTTTGTTCCGGAACCCAGAGCCCACCACTTCTTTATACTTAAGCTTTTGGAAAAGTAAGATACTGTTCTTTGAGTCTCATCTTTTAGCCTTCTGAGAAATATGTGTTTCATAGTGGCCATTTTGCTAGCATGCTCACAACTCTCAAAGTGTGCCCTCTGTGCTCAAAAGCTTGGGGAATCCTGAGCAAAGCCATGTCGCATGTATCTTCTTGCTCCAATGTTGACCCTGGAAGCCCATGTACAGCTGCCTTTACCCAGATTAGGGTGCCATGACAGCTACAATATTTTTGGAGAAGGCATATACTTTAGGTAGATCATCAAAGGACTACTGCAGGGAATACAATATGGGGCTGCCTTTGAGAAGTGCCAGAAGCTTCAGCCAGCAGCAGCAGAGTACAGGGAGCATGACATCCCAACACTTAAATAAGTGCATTGTTTCCCTATTTGTTTCCAGGCCCAGTTTAACATGCTGGCTATGATCTGTCAATCCTTATGTGGCTTAGGACCACGGTTTCCAATAACGGTTTCTTTTTCATATGAACCTATTTGCTTATTAAGATCAGCTAAGGAAGTCTTCATATTAGTTCCAGTTTATTTGGGATAAAACTTTCTCCTTTGCCTCTGTAGGAACTTCACGTGTTCTTACATCAAGTGTTCTTTCCCCCTCATGTTTCACCTACCACTGTTTTAAAATTGTTATATTTCTGCCATCAGTAAAGTGGATTTTCTGGAAATGCCTGAAATGGAATATTTTAAATTAGGCTAATTTTTCCAGGGTTTTTACATCAGAAAATTTAAATTAAAATTTCAGTTTCCACTGGAAATTTACATCATAAAACCTTTGTAGGATGATCTAATTAAGCATGTTTACTAAGTAAAAGTAAAATAAACAGCAAAATTAAATGAAATAACCACATTGATCTTTGTGAATGTGAATAAATTACCTGAAAAAATATTAATTATAACTTTGAAACAGCCAAACTTGTCTAATACTGTATTTGCAACTGCCACACATTTATTTTTACTAATGAACCTATGAAAGGGAAATTTCTCCACTGAAAAATAAAGCACTGGAAGATGTACAGCCCCACATGAATGGCTAGCATTTATTCTGTATTATGTATTTTACCATTCCAGTAAGCCACTTTGAATGATACATGAGAAAAAAGGCTATAAATATTTTAAATAAACAAATCATAAATCTAACAGTCTACAACTCTTGGAACACTGAGGCCCTGAGCAGCTTTGATCCTTCCTCTCCATGTGAGCAGTAACATCATCCCAAGGGAGGGTCACATCAAGATTCCCTGACGCAACCCACACTAAATATGACATGAGTGGGGGAATGCCAGCAGTACCCAGTCTTCATCAAAAGCAAAGATGAGGAAACGAGAGGTAATACCAGCAGCACTACCTTGCCACTGGAGGGAAGATGCCAGCCTAGTATTCTGTAAACTGGTCAAGGCAATGGGCCTGTTCACATGGTCACAAAGGGGAAATAAGCCATGCTGCTTTGTTTCCCATGCTGCACATGCCAGGGAATTTGCATAATTACCATCACTGCTTGAACCCAGTAAGGATGGCTTGTTGCCACAGTTAGCAAACCGACCCACGGCCCTTCAACAGCCGCCATGGTTTATTTCCCCCTCTGTGATGGTGTGAACCTGGTTAGTATAGATTCATCGTTCCAAGTCCAAGAATGAGAGGTCCCCCAATTTTGAACGAGAAAAATATTGTGCCTGAAATAAAACCTACTAACTACAAACACAGTCAATGGGCTGGGGCTTTTGTGAGGACCTGTGTATATAAGATTACCACACTAACCCAAAGTGTATGTTCTAGATAAGGATGCTAATAACAACTGTCATAAAAATTAATGTTATCTGTATTTATTGGATTTGAATCCCACCTTTTTCTCATTCAAGGAACTTAAGGTGGCTTACATAATTCTCCTCCTCCTCTCCATCTTATCTTCACAACAACACCCCTGTGAGGCAAGTTGCGCTGACAGTCTGTGCCTGATCCAAAGTCACCCAGTGAGCCTCATGCCCAACTGGGGACTAGAGTCCCCAGTCCAGCACTCTAACCACCACCCCCCGCACCAGCTCTCTATTCAATTATTTAATTTGCTTCTCTTTATTAATATGTTTGTAGTCTTCCTTTTCCCATATACAAAACCTATTTACTGTGGCTTGAAATAGAGAGCATTATTACAGTAACCATTCACACACAGAGCCTTTTGCAGAATCCTGTTCCGGTATCTGCCAGGTCCCATCTTTCCATACCTTCAGGTGGGCCTTAAAGACTATTACTGAATGAATTTACTGGGTGTCAATGAGCAGATGGTGTTACTAGCTGCATAAGTTTTTACATACTTAATTGTTAAGCTTTTCTATTTTATTCTTTTAACCATTTCATTTTTTAATATTTTTTATTTAGTATGCCATGATGGAAGAATACAAAAGGCACTCCTGAAAGGCAGACAATCCATCTATTTAAAATCATAATAATTTACTTTGCAGTGCCTTTTGCAGCCAACACAATAGGATCATCCTAGAATATACTATTTTTCTTCTATTAAAATCTGCGGTGTCACATCAATCTGATGCCCTTCAAGGCTCCCTTTCTTTTCTTTTGTATGTTGGCAGGACACACTACAGTTTCCCCCCAACTTTTGCTCTTCATATGCATTGCCATTATAACCTCACTTGTGCACCTGACCTCTCAGCCTAGAGTTACTGGGTTAATGTATCAAATGATATTGGTATGTTAGGCATTGAGGAAAACACTGGAGGCGTGTTTTCTGCTCAGAAAACTTATGGGGGAGGGGGGAAGGCAGAGGGAGAAGAAATGGCATGATGCAATGGGAAAAGGGTTATTACAAATGACTGTTAAAGACATATATACCAGGACTTGACACCAAGACCACCTGGTTTAATCAAGTCAAATTCAATAGAAGAGGACGGGAGTTCATGCCAAGCTGGATTAGGACAGCGGATGGCTGAAGATGCTGCTTTCTCCATCACAAGAAACATTCTCCACGACTGCGCCTCGTGGAGCAGCTGGAGGGGGAGAGCAGGACAGCACGAGAGACACCCGCTCACCCGTGACGGACTCCAGCCGCTCTCGCAGCTCCCTCGCGATCGGCGCCCAGCCGGTACCCCAGTCCACAGGCTCCGCGGTCGGAGGGCAGCAGCCCGTCAGCAGTGCGGGTGGGGCACTGAGAGTGCACCCCGATAAAGCGACAGCTCATCCCGAAGGGGAAGCTTTGAGCCATTCTCTGCCGTACACTTTAACTTTGGGGTGCCTGTTTGACAGTTTCTCTCCCCCTCCAATAATTTTCTGAAGATTTGGAACAGGATTTGCAAACGCAGCAGAACATTAAAAAGTAAAAGTGTCACTTACATAGGCAACGAATGAGAGTATGCAACTCGGGGCCCAACAACCCTCCTTTTGTCCCCTACAGGGAGGGCTCCCACCAGGCCTTCGTCCCGCGACAGCTTCCCCTCAGAGCCAAAGCCACGTCTAAGCAGCGGTAAACACGCCCGCCCCTGCGAGCCCAGTCGCCTGCTCCTCCACACCATAGAGGCGACCGGGCAGAGCGGGAGCAACCCGGAAGAACGGGCCTGCTAGCGGAAACGCGTCACTTTCCCCGTCCCTAGCGAGCGTCGCGCTTGAGCGAGGGGGTGACCGAGAGCTGGGCTGTGAAAAGGGGAGGGAGCTGCCGGTGTGTCGGTATTGTTGGCGAGCCTCCCTGTGGAAGCGCCTGTCGCGGGGAAGCAGAAGGCGCGGCTCAGGTGCGGTGAGTCGTCCCGGCGCGCTGATGTCGCGGAAGGGAGGGTGACGCCATGGTGCGCCGTCATGTCCTCGCCTTACGCTAAGACAATACACAACGGTGTATTTGTTTAGATCGCCCTTCCGCAGTCTGGAGGCCTCCAGACGTTCAGTACTACAGTTCCCTTCGTGGCTATGGGTCGGTACATGTACCGTTGGTAGCCCCAGCCCTGCTTGTAGTCCAGCATCTCCGCAGGGCACCCTGTTGGGGAAGCATTGCGAGTGCAGGAATCGGCGCGGCTCTATTATATAGTGTTGGATCGGGACTCGGGAGGACCCAGTTCTAGGCCCCACTCGGCCACGAATTCATCCTTCTTGGGTGACTGGGCCCGTCACGGCCTAACTCTAACCTCCATCGCAGAGTTATTGTCTTGAGCATATCGCGGAGTGAAGGATTATATAAACCGCCTTGCAGCGAAAACAGGCATGCTGTTAATATAATAGAGAAATGGGGATCCCTTTGTATTGGTAAAGGGGAAAGTAGTGCTCCCAGTTTTAGGCTGAGGAATGAATATGTATGTAATACTCATATCCTCAGAAGAGTTTTAGAAGAGGCAGCTTGTGGGCGAAGTGCGGAGTCTCAGTACAATCTGATGTGTCAGAGAGATAGGTCAGGGAAGAGCCTAGTGACACTTGATGGGCTGGGGCAGAGCCCTAATCTGAGGTACATCTGAAGCAAAGTTCCTGGCTTAAAATCTGCAGGGCAAGGAGCCTTCTGTTAAAACTTGCTGGGCAAAGCTAGTGAAATTCATTTATTTTAAAACAGTTACAACTCTACTTCTATATATTCTTGTGGATCAGGAGATCCTGGTGGGTTCAGAGGTGTGGTGTCCTTGACCAGACACTCATAATGCTTCACTAGGGTTTCAAGCTCTACTATTTGACTCTTCAGAATCTGTTTTTACAAGTTGGACCAGTAAAGCAATTGCTGTTTGTTTATACGTCTTTGCTATACATGGTCCTCTTATTATTAGGCATTTTGGACAGGAAGGTGTAATACAAAGGAAGAAAATGAAACTAGCCTAGCAGTTCTATTTCGCTGTCTTCGGGGATGTATAACCAGAGGACACCTAGTCCTTGGTATTTGTTTTAAACAGGACTTGAGCATCATTGGTTTACTATTGAAAGAGGCATGGAAAAGTTCAGTCAGAGTGTTCTGCATGTAGCAGCTACTAGATTCAACTTCTGGCATTTCTGTTTGAACAGTAAGTCTTCAGCAGTCAGAGCTGGAAAAGAGCCCTTTTTGAACTAGGGTTGCCAAGAACATGTTTGTCTTTAAATGCTTTAATAACGCAAAGGATGAGGCAAGAGCAAGTGGGGTGCCATGTTTCTCCTACTGTAGACAGGGAGACATTGAGCAAAGGAGATTACTTAGGGTGGTTATGCCTGTCTCCAGTCCAGTGTCTTTGCATGCAAAGATAGTGGTTGGTTGGTTGGTTGGTCTGTTGTTTGTTTGTGGCAACCTGGCAAATATAGTATGAACTCTTAGAGAGTCCACCATAAATAGGAGGAATAAATCAAAGCATCAATACCATTTCCTGGTATTTGTGTAAATTCTTATTTACCTGTGTTACTCCATTTTCTCAGTATTGTATTCCTGTGATGAAGTAGTTGGCATCTGTAACACGGCTTTAGTAAGGTAGAATAAAATGATACAATAGCTTTTTAGCATTATCTTGGCACTGTGGTATAATCAGAGCAGAGTCAAGCTCACTCTAAGGATTTTTTTAAATGTTATAGTTATTAACTTTAATTGTTTTATAGAAAATGTTTTAGAATAAGCATCATATATTTAAATGCAGTATTGAATGTTACTGAAAAATATTACAGATATATAGGGACAATGACACATTTTCAGTGCCCGTGAATAACTGGTGGTGATTTTTGTCCAGCCCTTTACTTGAATTAAGGCATATTATCTGGATCCCTATTTTTGGAAGATTTATAATTTAACTTACAATAGAAGCCTAGAGAGTTATGCTGGATCAAATCAAAGGTCCATCTGGTCTAGCATCTTGTTTCTGTAGTGTCCAAACAAATGCCTACAAAAAGTGTCCAAGCAGGACATAAGTGTAGCAACATCATTCTCAAGTTTCATAGCAAACATTTTATAGCCATTGTAACTGATAGTCATTGGTAGCCTCATCCATGAATTTATATAATTCTTTTCTAAAACCAGTCAAGTTGGCGACCAACATTATATCTTGTAGCAAATTCCATAGTTTAACTGTTTGCTGGGCAAAGGAGTCCTTCCTTATATCTGTCCTGAATCTCCTACCCTTCAGCTTCATGGGATGATTGTAGGTTTAGTATTATGGGAGAGGGACAAAAACATCTTCCTTTCCATTTCCTCTGCAGTATCCATAACACCATACATCTGTCGTACCTCTCTCATTTGTATTCCTTCTGCTAAGCTAAACACCCAAATGTCTGGGGAGACGTGCTCTATCCCATTGATCATTTTGGCTGTTCTTTTCTGCCTATTTTCATAAAAGATGAGTGTGATAAGAATAGTAATTTAAATCATAGTACCTTAGATTATTTACATATCAAGCCTCTCCAAATTGTAGGGTTAGTTGGCACATTTGGAATATTCCAAGACTATTCTCTCTGTTCTTACAAAATGGCCAAAAACATGTTTCCTCATTCATTACATGGTTGCCATAGTGGTCATGGCCAATTGCAAGCAGTCATTTGTAACAAAGAACTGGTGAAACTAAAAGAAAAGTAACTTGGCCGGGAATCAGACTAGAAGATAGAAATGACATCTGCATCTCAAAACAAAGTGACTGGTTTAAACCCATCATTTTTTTCATCCTAGCAATTATTTCAAAAGAAGGCAAACTGATGAAGCTTGGGAACTAGTAGCTGGGTGGAAAAGTGCATATATCTGGAATGTCTGAGCCTGAATACCAGGTAACATTGTTCCCCACACAAAGCACTATCAAATTTCAATTTAACAATAGACAAGCTGGTGACACTCAGAAACAGTCATGCATGCATGCACACAAACAAAATGTGTTACCCTGAAACAAACAAACCGGCTAATATATCCATGTACCACACAAAAAGGCAAAATGCTTAAATAACATAGCCAGAGCACCCGTTTGTTAGCCACTGCCCTTTAGAGCCATAGGAAGCCATCTCTTCCAACCCATCAGGATGTGCCCGACCACACTCAGCTTGCTTTTTCTTTTGTTGACTAGGTACCTCCATAAATCTTGAGCTTTAGCCAGCCTCCACTTTTATAACACTGTGTCTGGGGCGCAGTAGCATTCTTGGACATGAAAACGGTACTGCTGAGTAACACTTCACTTTGCAACATGTGAACCTCCCAGTTCACTGTTTAAAAATGAAAAGGCCTGCAAAATAAAGCTGGTGGAACTGAGAGCTTAGCAGGTGGCAAGAGAGGTGTATGTGGGCACTTCAGTTCACACAGGCTCCACACAAGAGACCCCAGTTGTATATTAATGCTCACTAGTCATCTTAAAAGTAAAACCCAATCCACATAGAAAGCAGATCAAACTCTGCTGAAGATCTGGCTATTAGCCTTTAAAGGAGGTACCCCAGAGGATCTATTCTGAGTTCAAAAAAGTATTTCAAAACTTGAGTTTTAAAAATCAGATTTCAACAGCATATGCATGCTTTTTCTTCTCCTTTTCCCCTTCAAAAATAGTTTCTCTACCCATATCTAACACATTTGCAGAATATAGTGCATTGTAAAAGCAATGGTTGTAAACCAGTTCATACCACTGGTAGTTAGAAAATGTAGCCATTGATTCTTAAGGAACTTTTTATAGGGGAAGTGGGGATATGCTGATCTAAAGTTCTAAAAGGTTTCTTATGCAGACTAGGAGCTCCCATGTAAAGGGATGCTTTGCTGTTTGAAAAAATATTAGGAACAGATCTGTTTTACCAGCAGGGAATTCTGTACAGAGCTCTTCATATTTAAATTAAACTTCATTTCTTAAAAAAAAAAGTTCTGTGTAGAATGGTGTTGCTGAAGTGAAACTTACTCTGAAGGAGACCCCCATCATTAAAACTTATTACAATTCAGTTAGTACAAAAATGGTTCTGTTCCCTTGAGACCACAGTCTGAAATGCTGTGCATTTGTTTTGGTTTTTCGCTTCCTTATGGTTTGTTTATGTTGCAATATTGGATAATCCAGAAAATACATTGTCTGTATTTATTATTTATTTATTAGAACTCAAGGCAGCTTGCGTCATTCTCCTGCTGCTCCCAATATTATACCTGCAATAAGAACAACCCTGTGAGGTAGGCTGGTCTGAGAGTCTGTGACTGGCCCAAAGTCACCCAGTTGGCTCCATGGCTAGCAGGGACTAGAGCCCATCTCTCCTGAGTCCCATTCTCATACTCCTAACCACTACTCCAGCTTATGCCTCCTTCTATGCCCTGGTCGTCTTGCTGATCTTGTACTACGTAGTGTTGGGTGTATCTTTTAAGAATGCAAATCAAAATAAAAGTCCTCTGTTCTATTGCTAGATACATAAACTCTAGATTGTGCAGATCTAATCCAGATATTAAATAAAGATTAAATGTGTTGTTTCTTTTTAAATATCTAGTCATAACAGCTGTTCTATAATATCAGTGCGTTTGTTTTTCTTGGATTTAAGATATCATGTTGTTTTATCTTCCCTGTGTTTAATCAGCTGCAGCAGCTGTTTTGTATAAATATGATGACTATCATGAAAATGTAGCATTCCTCCCCCTCCAAGAAAAAAAAAAAAACTAAGCAGTGAACAATCTTGCTTAACAGTAATGGGTTTGCCCAGAAGAAAATGAGTTAAACAATTTAATAGATCAAACACTGAAGGATGAAATGGAAAAATCCAATGACCCATTACAACTACTGCTGTGCATTTTGCAAGCTCTATATAATTTACTAGGGAGCATATGCAATTATTGTAGATAATTATCTCAGGTTTTTGAAGGATAATGCAGCTAGATATTTTCCAGTTATAAATAAGGTTTATATGTTAGTGTCACTCCATAAATGAATGCAGAATAGTCTGATGAGCAAGTTTTTAAAGTAAGCTGGAAGAATAAACCTTATGAAAGGAAAGTACTGGAATGACATTTCTTAAAATTCATAGCAGCTTCACCATAATCACTTGAGTCTTTGTAAAGCATTTACAATTGGTAAAATACATAAATAAAATACCCTTTTACCTATCTATGGATTCACAATCTAAATAAAAATGTGACATTAAAGAGAAATTGAAGGGGGAAGGGAACTGTATCTGCTGACTGAGGTTGAAAGGGGCCTCAGTTACAATAAATTTACAATGTGTGTGGGGGGTGGGGGGCAGTTTCTTTAAAAGGCCAAAAAAGACACTTGACCAGTGTTTAAGCAATAACAGTAACAGTGTAAGAAGCTACAAGAGAGAACATGTGTGAACATGAAATAGGCCAGGAGAGAGGTTATTTAATAAGAACTACCAAATCCAAAAGTCCTGCTTGGATTCACTCCAATTTGGGAAAGTTGGAAGTGTCTTTCTGTGTTTCTTTTTTCTCCTTTCAGCATATTTTACCTTTTTTTCTGGGAAAAATCAGAAGGAAAATGTTAGCCAACACCAGCTCTGGTTCCACTGCCCCACACCACTGGTATAGCTCCTCTTCACTCCATACTATCAGCGGCACTGGAGAACTGGGCAGCAGGCCGTTTCATGATGTTTGGGAGGAGATTTCTCTTTCTAAGGGAAGTGCTCTTCACTCTTGGGACACTGTCTCCCAGGGGCAATAGTATCGCACCTAACAGCACATAGTCGTAAAAGCTTTTATTTTGGCATCCACTGAAGTTAGCTTTCCAGTCAGTGATCCTAAAAAGGACAATTATTTGCTGCCCCAAATGACCTAGAATTTGGTATGTTTAAGGCCACTCATTTCAGTAAACTTCAGCACTCCTAATCTACTAGTCTGGCCAGAAATTCATTTTGATATTGGTATAGCGTATGATGCTAGGTTAAAACTCTCTCTACAGTGGATAGCTTTTTCACGCATAACTATTGACTATAACATTAGGCTTCTTGGTTAACATCTTTGGAAGGAACTGCTGGGAGATTTACCAGATACATTATTTAATACATAGCAAACATTCAGCCCAATCCTGTCCATCTTTACTCAGAAATAAGTCCCCTTGGTTCTAATACAGTTTTCTGTTCCGTAATAATATTCTTCAGATTGAAACTTTTAGGTTTTGCTGCTGAAGGTATACCGTATTTTTCGCTCTATAAGACACACCTGACCATAAGACGCACCTAGTTTTTAGAGGAGGAAAACAAGAAAAAAAATATTCTGAATCAAATGGTTTACTAAACTATGTAATAAACTATAACAGAATACAGTATTACTGTATTCTGTTATAGTTTATTACATAGTTTAGTAAACCATTTGATTCAGAATATTTTTTTTCTTGTTTTCCTTCACTTTACAAGGTTGAAATACAGTATTACTGTATTTCAACCTTGTAAAGTGAACAGCAGTCAACAGTGGCATTAAGAACCATCATCACTGTCATTAACAAAAGAGAGACTTTAAAGTTCGAGTACTCTTCTAGTTTTCATTGAACCCATAGAACTCATCATCACTAGAGTCAGAATTTATGAAGCTCTGTTGCTCACAATCACTGACATCACTTTCTTAGTCAGTAGTGGAATTATTGAAGGAATCCACAATCTACACCAGTTGTACAAGAGCTGCTGCAGACAATAACAAATCTAAAAAAGCCAGTAATGTCCACGCTGCCCTACTAGTAAATAATAGAAAAAAACTTCTGACAAAAAATGAGATATTGTACGGTAAATCAAACACACAGCGGACTAAGTAGCCTTTGAAGAATAAACTTCATACACGAAGGTAATGCTGTTTAAATATTCACTGAGCCTTAAAAAAAAATGTGTCTGATCAACTAACAGATAACTGATCCATGGAAAGCTTCCTGATAATCACAGGCACATTCCCCATCACTTCCCCATGGGCTTCACTAAAAGACAGGTTGCCATTTGAAAACACACACTGACCTGTGATTAACAGCTCTCACCTGCGCCGGGGGGGGGGGGCAGAGCAGGGCACACCGAGCGCGTGCCGGCCAGGTGGTGCCACGTGGTGCAGGCGGCCGGCAGCATCCTGGGCGTCGGGCACACACACATTCGCTCTATAAGACGCACTTTTCCCCCCTCAAAAGGGGAAATGTCTGTGCGTCTTATAGAGCGAAAAATACGGTACTTCTAGAATTCAGTGGGCCTTAGGGAAAGTGTAAGTTCCATAAAGAAATAAAATTCTTGGAGAGAGAGGTTGTTGTTGTTATGCTTCTGTACGGCTCCCATAGTGCACAGGGGACTCTGGACAGTTTACATTTCCAACAATAAGAACAGATATACATTTCCAAAAACGATTTACAGTAAATTCCAAATACATTTCCAAAATAAACATACAACAATAAAAACAGAACAATAATAAAATACTACCATAAAATCATACATTAAAAATACTAAGGAACCCAAAGAAATAACTACAAAATCTAATAAATTAATCCCAGATACAGCAGTCCACCTTAGTCTACTGAGCTGCCCCAAGCGGGCTTCAACAAGCCCCAGGAAGAAGAAGGGACCCGCACTGCGAGGGGCCGCAAGGGGACGAGGTGACGGTAGGCTGCGGTGGAAGAGAGGTGAGGCTCTGGTCTGGCAAGCACATAGGCATGGTGGAGGGTCAATGGCCTATTTTGAAATTAAATGAAATCACGGTCTTAAGCATTTCCATTTAAATAGGTTATTTTTAATGTCCTTTTAGAGACACATGTTTTTCACTACAGAATTGGACCATTGTTGATTGTAACAGTATTATGAAAATGAAAGAGGAAGAGATAATATGTACTAGATATTTTGTGTTAAAATTAGCAGTGAAAATACAGACTGGGAAAAAATGAATGCACATTATGCTCACATGACTCCAGTCCTCCGTCAGCTTCACTGGCTTCCCATTGAAGTCTGGGCCCAATTCAGGGTGTTGGTGATCACTTATAAAGCCCTAAACAGCTTGGGTCCTGGCTACCTGAAGGAGCGCTTACGTCCATATATGCCCACCCACCCCCTGAGATCAGTGGGAAAGGCCCTTCTCCGGGAACCCTCTGTGAAGGAAATTAGGGGGATAGGTACTCGGAGGAGGGCTTTCTCTGTGGTGGTGCCCAATCTATGGAATGCGCTCCCCAGAGAGGTCTGCCTGGCGCTGTCGTTATTTGTTTTTCGGCGCCAGGCAAAGACCTTTTTATTCAAGCGTCATTTTAATTGTTAACGTTATTTTTATTTTTAAGTTTTTTGGCCAGGGCGACTTATTTTATACAGTTATGTGTATTTTATATTGTTATTTATGTATTTTAATTTATTTATTTGTAAGCTACCCCGAGGCTTCGGCAAATGGGGCGGCCTAGAAATTTTCTAAATAAATAAATAAATAAATAAACTTTTAGGAACATGAACTTCCATTCTTTGTCATGAAATCATAGCAAATGCATTTTACGTATGAAAATAAAGTGGGTGTACATTCAAATACATGAGTCATGTGTACTCTAAGATTGTAGAGATTAAACATACAGATACAATAATTAAAAGTAATTTTTAATTCTTAAAAATGGTCAATTAATATACCATTTGTGCAAACTGAGGCTGAAGACTGATGAAAAGTTATTTACATATTATGTAATTATGTAGCCCAGTAATAAACACATTTCTTTTGAACGTTGCAGACAGTGAAGCTATTTATTTTGCTTCTGCTTATAAAACAGACCCACTGAAAGAAGGATTAGTCTTTGTAGGATCCAATCATAACTTTCCAATAAAGAAATGGGACCTATCTACTTTTACTATTGCAATATTCTCATTAGCTGTGATGTTAGCGGTTCAGAAGTTATATGGAGTTACCTACAGAGTTATTAGCCTCATTTCATGTTAGTTACCTGGCACATCTTCAACTTGGTGTAAATTCTTTGAGATTAATTCATAGCTTCATATGTTGCACAGAAATCTGGAAAGAAGAAATGCCAGTGACTAACGCTCCTGCTTTTCCTTCCTACACCATGGCTCACTCTGCTCACAAGCTGCTCCTGCTAGAAGAAGAGGGATGGGTAATTCTGACTGATTCCTCTCCCTCTTCCTGCACTGCCCTGTGCCGAAGGGTTTGGAAGCAACTCCATTACAGTGTTGAGAATGTGCAAAAATCATTCCACATTCACCTTCCTCTAGCAACAGTTTCCACTAGATGTTTGTCCATTCTGGATCCAACCTCATAGCATGGAAAGTGAGACTAGAAGATCTTACCACTATTATTTCTCCTTGCCACCATACAATAGAAGGTGAGAAGAAGCATGAGACCTTTCAGTTTCTTTCCCTGCTTTTAATGTGATTGTATGCTAATACTTGCTCACTTTAAGGACCTTTCAGGTCTAGATGGTTGGCATCTGAGATAATTTAGTTCTGTTTGCTAAGTATTTTAAGTTTGAAAACCACATAAAGCATTGTTAATAATCCTTACTCTTTTTTTAATTTTCAGTTGGATATTCCATTTATTTATTTTCAAATCTTTGGAGTTATTTGTTGATAAATCAATCAGACCCTTTCAGGCTGACTGGCCTAATGCAGAATACTTCACATCTTCCAACTTGCTTCAGCTGTTACATTCAATGAGAAAAATACCTAATTTAAAGCTTCCATGAAGCTCAGCTACTGCCTGTTGACTCTGATTCTCAACACTAGTGTTTTCGCACTAGAAAATGTGGCCTCCAACCTGACAACTACATCTGAGTCAAAGTCCCCACCTCTCAATGCATCACTTATTCCCATCTTACAAGCCTTGACAAAATCTGCGGCGCCTCAGGATATCATAGAGAAAGAGGGGAACTGCGTTTTCATTGAATGTATGCTGAATGTTAGCCAGCATGACACCATCCTTTGGTACAACTCAAAAGGGCACCTGCTGGAGCAAGACAGAGGAGGTAAGTCATGCCTATGCAGCATGTAACATGCCTCTTCCATCACATAGCAGTTGCTGAAGTTCTCTCTTATTTCATGCATGAAAGGAAAAGTATCCTCCCTGGATGTTTTAGCCCTTTGCCTAAAATGGTATTCCATAAAACCCCGTACAAATGTGTTGTAAAGAACTAAATGTTAACCTCAGCAAGAACACCATAATTCAGTAAGGTCCCAGTTATCCATTGCAAAAACCTGGGACTCAATGAGCTAAAGTTTACACAATTGACAATCTGGTTACTCTTATGTAACTCTCACAATTCAATTACTTGCTTTAGAACTATAAGCCTCTGATATTTTAATCCATGTGCTGATTGCATGGTTTTTCTCATGGGGCCTTGTTCACATTTGCAAACAAATATTGACATTTATACTTAACCGAAGAATGTGAATAAATTTAGCACTTCACTGAGGGTAAGAACTTTGGAATGAAAAGTTTGTCAGCATCATACAAACAAGAGAAGTGCAGAAGGATGATAGAAAAACACATTAGCTTTTCTGCCTCTCTTTCAATCCAGTTGTAACATGCTGTGCTGAGAAGAGCATTGCCGAAATTTTGTGGATGCCTTTTCCAGCCCTTGGCAGAGGTCAACCTAATAGCAACATGTCTCTCTCTTCACATGTTATGCTTTGTCCTCTGTAGTTTCCTAATGTCCAAAATAATCGCCCTTTCCAAATGGTTTGGCAAAGACAGCCTTTGTATTACAGTAGTGTTCAGGCCAGCTTAGGAGGAAGTAAGCTTTGCAGCAGTATTCTTTTTCCAACCAAGACTATGTGGTGCTAACCCTGATCAAAATAGGGACTTCCCTGGTTATTCTTTACCCCAGATTTAAAATCTAGGCAAGCAGGAGTCAGGACCAAATCTGAAGGTGATGACATGATCAAAGGCAGCCTTCCTCAGTCCTTTGCCCTACAGAGGCTTTTGACTACAGTTTCCACAATCCCTGAGCATGGGTTATGCTGTCTGAGGCTAATGGACTTTGAAGTTCGAAACATTTAGAGTTTAAAGTCTGGTCAACAATGTATCTCTTAAGAATCAAAGCTGACCTGGTTATTACTTGTAGAATACTGTAGGTGGTTCTCATGTCCACCTACTGCATGCAAACACTGTACTCTCTTTTATCCTGCTTTAATGATCCACCAAACCTTTCACATTTTGAAGTACACATTTGTCAGCTCTTTCAATTTGAGGGATCAAACTGCATTTGTTGATTGTACTTTAACAGTGTTGTTTTTAGGAGGATAAAAAGACATACACAGTTAAGGTTCCAGAAAGAAAGGTACACCTGGAAAAAACAGTTCATGGGTTTAATTTTATTCCAGTATATCAAGAATAGTCATGCATACTAATACAGGTGCAAGTGTTAGCCTCTTTACTTCCTCCCTTCAGAACATTAGCAGACACTATTATTTGGGGGGGGGGGCAGGTTAAAGAATGTTGAGTTTTTGCAGTGCATCCATCCAGGGGAGTATTGGACAACAGGCAATGCTGGATTTCTGTTTCAGCTTTCTCATTGGAGGAAGGAGAAGGCCATTTTGCAGATTCTTCCTTCCCTCTCCAATATCCTCTGCTGCTCCCAACAACTCTGGAGAGTCATGGGATGCTTCAAACAGTGTGGGAGGGGGCACTACGGGGGACGGGGGGAAATGACAAAATCAATGTCCTGCTGCTTCCCCTTTCTCCAGCAGGAGCCTCCACTACATCTCAGTGTAAGCCACTGCCTAAAACAGCAAATTAGTTGAAACTTGTCATGTCTAGGTAAAGCTATTCAACCATGCTTAATTAGTATGCTGGCAAATGACCAAACTAATGTTGCTAGTCAACAGTCTTCCCAATCCTGCTTTGCCTTTTGCCTAAGATTGCAGTTTATGAGATGCACTCACATTGACTTGTATCCTACTTTCCATGCGAATATGTTCCACAAAGTAGTTTTATAATACAATACAAACTTAAATGCAGCAGCATTAAAACAATCTAATCCAGAGGAGCAAAGATAAACAGGATCCTTGTTGATGGCAGGCTAAATGTGAGCTGGCAGTGTGGTTAAGAGGGCAAGCGCCACTCTTGGATGCATAGCCAGAAGCTTCAAGTTCTAGGAGGTGTGAATAGCGCTCTACACGAATAGAGTATTGCACCCAGTTCTGGGATTCATGTTATAGGAAGGACATAGCTAGGTTAGACTCGGTTCAGCACAGGGTCACAAGCAAGTTAGCCGGGTTGGGAAGGATGGCATATGAGGAGAGACTGAGGGAACAGGGTCTTTTCAGCCTGGAGAAGAGGAGACTCCAAGGGGATCTTTTAGCAACTTATAGGTATGTAAGGAGTGTCATGTGGAGGAGGGTCGTGTCCTGTTCTTGCCTGCAGTGTGGGGCAGGATGCATTCTGGTGGGGCAAAGCTCAAAAGAACCAGGCTTCAGGTTGGATGTCAGGAAGACCTTTCTGATGGTTAGGACCCCTAGGATATGAAATGGGCTTCCAAGGGAGGTGGCTGAGGCCCCATCAGTGAGGGAGTTCAAGGAAAGATTGGACAACCACATGTTGGAGATTACATGAGCAGAGCTGGCTGGAGCTGGGAGTCAGACTAGATGCCCCGGGCGGCCCCTTCTGACTCGCTTTGTTTTTACATTTCTAAAACATAGAGAAAGAACAGTTCTTAAATTTCAGGCAGCATCAGCAGGCAAAAGCAGATTGAATAAATAGCGGCTTTAACGCCCAATGAAGAGCAACAGAAGAAGAGGTCAAATGCACATCCTGGGGTGGGGGTCCAAAGATAGAGCCAGTTCAGAAATGGTCACACAGATACAGACAGACAGAAATGGCCTTGTCTCCGGTGTCTGACAGTCTTAGTAAAGGTATTTATACAATCTTTAAGGCATTGACTCCTCTTTTGTATTTGTGTCTTTAGGTGGAAGATGGCTGATCTCAGACCGTGTCCTTAATATCACAAGTGTAACTTTTGGTGACCGGGGGCGATACACTTGTGTTGCCACTAATGAAAATGGCACTTCTTATTACTCAGTCACACTCAGAGTTGTCTCCACATCTGGGGACATGGGCATTTACTACATGATTGTCTGCCTCGTTGCCTTTACTATCATCCTGATCTTAAACATAACCCGTCTCTGCATGATGAGCAGCCACCTCCGCAAAACAGAAAAAGCCATCAATGAGTTCTTCAGGACAGAAGGGGCTGAGAAATTGCAGAAGGCTTTTGAAATAGCCAAGCGTATTCCTATCATCACCTCTGCCAAAACCTTAGAGCTGGCCAAAGTCACTCAATTTAAGACTATGGAATTTGCTCGGTATATTGAAGAGCTTGCCAGAAGTATCCCTCTTCCACCACTCATCCTTAACTGTAGGGCCTTTATGGAAGAGATCTTTGAAGCAGTGCATGTTGATGACCCAGATGAAGTTGGAGTCAAACAGACCCAGGCCTTAGGTGCTCAAGAGGGGCATTACCCCTTAAACCCAGAAATCAAGCGCAGTGATTCACCAGCAGGGGATTCAGATGATGGTTCTGTGAATGACCAAGGCAAAGAAATAGCTGTCGAGGTATCTGTCCATCTTCAGTCAGAAGCACAAAGCATTGATAGTGTTTCCCATGAGAGTGTCCCCTCCATACCTTCTGAAGATGATGCATGTCCTGAATCCAAATAGAACAGCAAAGGCAGATGTATGAAAGTTGCATCAGATGTCATGGAAGCTTCAAGAGAAAGAGAAAAGCATAAGTGCAGCCACTGTCACAAATGCACAAAACCCTGTGGTGGTTATTTAAACTCCTCTAGAGACAATAAGGTGCCCTGAGTGTTGGCAAAAAATAATGTGGATTTTTGTTCTGTAATGTAGCTCAATGTGCACAAATTGATTTGGAAATCAGCTTAGAAGCTGTTGTAAACTTCTCAGTAGACATTTTATTATACATACTATTGGATGTATTTTACAAATAGGATACCTTGAGTTGTTGGTGATCTCCAGTTAAAGCTAAAAGAATCATTAACATGCATAGCTTTGTCACATCTATAGGGAAGCACAAATTCCTGAGGGTACCCGGTGATGATTTCATGATGTGTGATGTCATCATTCATCAGTCATGAAAAGAGTTTGCCATATCTAAATTTGTACAATAAATGGTATAATAAATACTATAATAAGAGCATCAAATTACTAGTTTTCAGACTATGTCATTAAGTTACCAGAGATGTCAGTTTTGTATATGTTACACTCAAATGCAGTACTTTAATAAGAAAATGAAAACCCAAATACAAGTTTTGGCATCTTGAATCTTAAGTTACACTCAAGAACTGGCCATTGAAATTTGCTGTCAAATGCCAAGTACATTCTTTCTTGTTCTTTGAATAAGACTCAAGATGTCAGCATTATTCATATCCTCTCTCCTCTGGAATTATGGCCGAAAGGCCAAAGTATACTGATGCCATCAACCGCTCTGATGAAGGTAACAACAGCTTCACTAAGACTTAGGATCTCAAAGTTCCTGTAGTAAACCCATTAAAAATAAGAAAGCCCTTGGCTTTTTCAGGCAGTTTGTTCTAAATAATAAGAAAAGTAGCAAAAATCTTAGTTTGTGTCTCTGTCTGTCTGTGTGTAATGACTATCTACTGAAGGGTTAGGTGTAGGATATTGTAGTCATGAGCAGAACGTATTGGAATGGAGGAGCTACGGTGCAGGAACAGTAGGCTGCTACATGCATGTCTGGTTTATGTCGTGTTACATGCATGTTATGTCTTAAGCAGAATTCCGTGACTGTGGCAAACAGTAAGAGGTCACTGCATTGAATAACTTCTCTCTGATGTTGATGTTTGGTTGGTCATACAAGTGCCCCAGGCAGTACAGTGGAATGTGCTACTTCAGGTGGGACATGCTCCATTTGAATGCTCATCAATTTGCAAAGTCCTTTCTTGCAAAGAAAAGTAAAAGAGGCCCTGCCTTGCCTGTTGTCGGTGAGTCCTTTTTTCTGTTGGCAATATCATCATCATCATCATCACAATCTCCTCCTCCAAAATGAGATTCCTTTTCTTGCACTCTGAAGTAATGTGGCCCTCATTCTGCTACACATACAGACTAATCCTTAAGTAGGCGTGTTGCTGGCATGTGACTACATTCTGGCTTGTCCTTTCCAGTGCCCATGAAGCTGAAAAGGTCCTGGGCCAATTTGTATTATGTGGAATTGAGAAGCAGGATAAATAATTGCATAACTGAATAATGAATTCATTCCTAGCTTCCTTCCTTCCTGGAATGAGTTTAGCTGTCTGTCTAGTTGGCCATTGATTTTTTTTTTTTAATTTGCCCAAAGGTTAGGGAAGTTCATAGGCCTTTTTTCTTTTTTGGTAGCCCAACTGGACATTCTCAAGAGTGATGGGGAAGTAAAATAGATTCCTATTTGATGGGGTTTTTTTCCTTTTTCACTTTAAAGGTGTTAGTTTAATTGCATTTTATATTCCATTTAGAATAACTGTAGTCCAAAAATTAGTTTCTTTAAAATTCTCAAACCTCATCTCTTGGCAACAAGTGCTCCCCATTTTATATCGCACAACTCTACGTCTGCCATTTTATTTCATGAAACCTTGTTTTAGCTAGCAGTTGCTCAAGGAGAATAAGCACAATTTCCAGGAGGATTTAGTGTTACATTTATAGCAGTAGGAGTGGATGACATACTGCAGTGATATCTTGGAAATCAGCAGTAAGGCCCAGCTGTGCATCAGATAATTTGAGAAAGTAATACTCAGCTGAGAGAACTTGACTGGATTTTTTCATAAAAATGTCTAATGCACAGTAGAAATGGTGTAACCATTAACATGGTAGATGGATATTGTTCTGGAAGAACAGGTGCTACATCTTAGGAACTGAGTTTCCCTTTCTGAAAAAAAGTTCTTAGGGGGACTGGCACCTGAACCAGGCATGTTGGCTTTGCTTTAGCTGTTCTGAGGCATTGCGGCATCATTCTTCAGCCGTTTATGGCCTAATACTCCAGTCACCCATTTTCCTGCGCTTCACTGCAGCATGCTGTGAAACATGGCTGAAGTTCTAGTTTGGAGTGCGGCTTGCTGCAAACCAGGATTTGCTGTTCCTGTAAATGTCTTGCTAGTCCAGAATGTTTCAAATGATAGGCAAGGTCGCTGGTTCAGGAGCTGGCACTTATCCCATCAAACAAATAACATCTTCATCAGGTACTTGTGGCCCAGTGGAGAAGGATCATGAGAATTGGAGGCCAAAATATCTAGATGGCAACAAGTTACTCATTTCTGGCCTGTGTGCTCATGTCACTCCTGAGTTTTCCACAATGCTTACTTCACCACTTATCCCCTTGATAAAGTAGAAAATATGTTCTAATGCATAATAGTGCATATTACATACATAACCTTATATATGCTAATATGGCAGCATTGACAATAAGAGAAAATTTCTTGAATGGGTTTTGCTGAATAAATATATTCAGTTAGGATTTTGCTCTAAGGATCTATCCTGGATCCTTAAAGAAAGCTAATTAACCATATTCTGGTAACAGCCACTGATTCTGCTAGATGAAGCAGTTTTGCAGCAAGGCATTACTATGTGCCCTCTGCATTGTGCTGAATGCTGCAATCTTGATTCTGCACACTAAACATAAATTGGTAGCCCCATTGACCTAATCACTTTAGGGTGCAATTCTATGCTTGTTTAGACAACCCCCACCCCCACCCCACAACTCCCGGTATTCACTAGCTAGCCATGCTGGCAGTTGTAGGACATTTTCCTGTCTAAACATGGATAGGATTGTACCTTTAATATTGAATCATGCACTTTGATGTTTTGCATAGGCAGGAGACTGTGCTTATTATTTTCCAAACACACAGGCTGTTCTGATGCTGGCATTAAGCAGATTGAAAGTTTTGAATTTCATGAATTTGTGTCCTCTGTTACACTTTACAGCAGTGAATTCTCCAGGCCAATTAACATTGTAATGCCTCGCATGAGAACAGTGGTTATGCAGTGATTGTGAGTGAATTTGTAGGCCACAGATCACATTACCAAAATTGTACTTCTAGACATCTGTGTATCTGTGGAAAGTGGCACTGTGTGTTTAACGGAGACACAGCCAGCACGTTCAGGTTTATTTGATGGTGCTTCCAACCCATCAGACATAAAGAGGGGTTTGTGACATTCCCATAGAAAAGCAGCTATGCAGTTTTCAGGTAATCAGATAGCACTGGAAATGTTTATGAGATCACCTCAAGACATCTGCTTTTTCAGTGATGTGATGTCAGTGTATAGAAAAAGGATCTGTAAATTTAGGTATGACTTTCTGAGCTTCTGAAAGACTTTGAGCAGAAAGATTGCCCAAAATGATCCTGAAAATAAAGACAGTATCTCTGGATCCTGATAATATGTTTCCCACCTCACTTCTAGCTGACACTCCATAGATTGTTCTGATGTGAGGAAATGAGGAACTCCATTTCTTTTAGATCCTTCTGTAAATAGCTTGTATTTATGACACAGAAATATATAGGAGCTTGTTTTGTCTCTTCATTGCAACAAAGACAAAGCTACAAGATGAAATGTGTTTTTAAGGAGGCAGCTTTACAAAAAAATCTTATTAAAACCAAATACATGGTGAATATATTGTGGAGTGTGAATGGTTTTTGAGCAGACACTTTAACAAAATGTTGATGTATGTAGAGATTGTATTTCAGCAAACTAAAAAATATATGTAAGTTTACTCAGATGACCTACATTCTTTTATTACTTGAAAGGGCAAAGAACAGGAGATCATCCATGGAAATGTCCACAGATCCACTGGCTATAAAGTTCTATCTGTTCACATTTCTAATGTCTCTCACCATGAGATTGTTGTCTTGTTTCCTTTGCATCCAATTTTTGTAGATAAGATAAAACTCTACTTTGTAGACTGAATACCATCTACATATCAAAATTATTTGTGTTCTGGAGGTGGCAGTGTCAGTTTTCTGTAATAGAATTTTGTACTTTCATATGAAAATGAGATGGTGCTTTTTCCCAGAATAAAACCCATTATTAAAGGTCTGGAATGCTTTTCTGGTTTTTCATTTCCTCCTCTCAGAGAACATGGCAGGAAAATGAACTGTCTAATAAAGGGTTGCTAAGCAGCTGATTTTAGCCAAAGTCAACAAACATTTCATAAAACTGGAGAAAGTTTGGCAGTTGAGTGTCAGCCATATTGTGGTTTCTTTTATTTCTTTGAAACATGTCATAAAACCTTGTAACCATTGATAATTATTCATCCCAGGTCTGGAGACAAACGGTTGGGGAATAAATGAGGTGGTTTTTACAACAAAGATGGGGAACCTCTGGTCCATGGGAATTCTGCATCCAGCCTGTGAAGCTTCCGTGGTTTCTTCCAGGAGGTGGGACTTGGCCTACAAGCCGTAGCCTCAGAAGCATCCCTGCGGTTATCTGAGATGAGAAACAGCATTGGGCATCTGAGGACTTGAACAGCATTGAGCACTGGGAGAAGCTGTGATCTGTTCTTTCAATTGTGGTACATGTAATATGCAATTTACATACTCACCAGCTGAACATAGCCTGTTGTATTTTCCAAACCCAGGTGACAGGACTTGTTGGATAGAAAATATTACAAGCATCCATGGGTTTTCCACAGCTTGTTTAACCTTCAAATAACCCATGATACTCAGGTTTGCATGAGACAACAAGCAGTAGTCTGTTTATTCAGAGCAATGGCAAGCATGCACAGCATAGTGATCTGTTGTGAAGGGCAAAGTAGTGCATTATAATACAGACTTGCGGAGTGCCTCTGATAGTTTGTAGTGATAATCTTCCAGTGCTTTTTTTTCTTTGTGGAGTGAAACATCACAGATCCCTAGTAACCAACACCAAACTCAGGCTGAGATATGAACCTGGTCTCTAGATATTGTTGGACTACAATTCCATCACTTCTGAACTTTTGGTTCTTGTGGCTGGGGCTGATGAGAGAGAGGTATCCAGCATCTGGAGGGCCACAATTTCCCCAACTCTGGGTTATGCCCTTAGCTTTTCAAAGAGCTGAAGTTGTTGTTGTTGTTGTTGTTTTGTTTGTTTTTGCACATTTGGAGTTACTAGCTGCCTAGATTTTATCCATTCCTAAAGTGGTATGTAGCACTTGTCTTGCTAGGGGCAGTTGAAGACTGACTGAACTGTCACAAAGAAGGAGCATCCTAATCGCTTCAGCTTTGTCGCTGGGAAATGCACACTTGGAAGAAACCAGGGGCATCCTGCAGGTTGTTGCAGGATCTCTGCTCAGTACCAGGCAGGGCCCACAACAAAGTTATCTGGGCTCAGGCAAAGTTGCATCTGGGCAAACATTTGTGCTTTGCAGCACATGGTATATGAGCTGCTTTAGTAACAATGAAGATTCTGTTGTGGCTGGATCACTAGGCAGTATAGAGAGACAGATGTAGCATACAGAACAGTGCACCAACCAGAAGTTACAATAGTGTAGATAAAACCTAATTACTCCAACGATATTAATTTCTATACTGCCCAACAGCCAAAGATTTCTGGGCAGTTCACAACAGCATATTAAAAAAAACAATATAAAACACCATTAAACATATAAAAGTTAACAATACAAAATTTAAAACTGATTTAAAAGCAAAAAATACAATAAATTGTGAAGGCCCTATTAGCCAAAAGCAGGCCCTGTAACTAATTAAATGCCCCACAGTAGAGGATGGTCTTTATCTGGCGCTGAAAAGATAGTAAAATTGTTGCCAGGCAGGTCTCAGTGGGAAGCCTGTTCCATAACTGGGGCCAATCACTGGAAAGACCCTTCTCCTTGTTGCACCATCTGAGCCTCCCTTGGAACTGGCAATCAGAGGAAGGCGCCAGAACACAGTGGCCAGATAGATGAAGGTCAGGAGAGGTGTTCCATCAGGTATTGTGGTCTCAAGCCATGTAGGGCCTTACAGTTCAAAACCAGCACCTTGAACGGATTCGGAAGCATATAGGCAACAAGGAGAACATGCTTTTGGTTTAAACCACCTTTCAGACTGATCTTAATCATACTGAATGGGTTTGCAAGAAATGAGCATGGGTGAATTTTTTGCAGGACTTTAGTTGCTGCTATTGCTACCATTATTGGGGTGCCTGGCAAGTCATCCACAACCCTAAAACATCCCATTTGCTCTGAGTGGCTTGTTAATGCCCCAACAACCCACCCTCACCAGGTGTAATAATTAATTTTTATGTTTATATTTTAAATGTAGTATTTTTTGTTGTTGTTTGTATTTTAAAAAAAGGACATGGCTACAACAATCTAGCCAGGATGTTAGTCTGAACAGTGTTCATAAGCTGCTGAAACACTTGGGGTGAAATCCAAACATGATGCCTGTAAATTTATGAACTTAGAGTGCATCCTGGGAAGAGTGGGAACAGAATATATTCTCCTGCTCTGCATTTCTGCTAGATTGTTGTTTTGAGCCATCTAGCTAGAGCCGAGGGAGGGAAGGAAGCTGCAGAGGCCATTGGACATGATGTATCCTAGCCTTCACTCTCTGCCTCGCAGTCTCCTTCACTCTCTGCCTCGCAGAATGTTCCCAACCGTTGCTGAGGCTGCCTGCATGGATCCTTCCACAGGGGGTGGGGAGAGATACCAGAGCATGGATGTCCTGTCCCTAGCCATGGATCTGGGAATCTGAAGTCTCCTTTGGCCCCCTAGATGTTGCCTAGGGGCCATAGGATTGCTCTTCAGAAGACATATTCTCAACACATTCATTGTTTAAATAGGCAGTACTCCGTAAATCAGATTGGACCCATCTTAGTCTAGGCAAGCTGTGAAGAGTAGTTTTGTTCAGGTTGGTTTTGATGGGCTCAACATAGTTTAAGTACATTTGGATAGTCATGCGGCATCTGACTCAGGGTCCATCTAAAGTGGTGTTCTGTTCACACACTGGCCAACCACCAATTGTTTTATGGTCCCCTGTTCACCACCACACACACACACACACATCCCTCCACCCATTTTTTTCTCAGCTAGAAAATGTTGAAATGCCTTCCTGCCAATTTAGTTGCTGGCAGTGAAAGCTTTAAGCTACAATATGCTAGTCTTAGCTGCACTCCTGTTGCCTTTGAACTCACCCACCACTTAAATATTGTTCCCAACAGCTTTTCCAAAACAGAGTTCAACCCTCAGGCTGAAAGAAGTTTCCCAGTCTTGCAATAAGGGATAGTGTTTGGGGTTAAATAAAAGTATTCCTGGTGTTCCATGATAGTCATGGAGCTTAAGGTGAATTTAAATAGAACTTCTTAATTCAAGAGGGAGTGTAATTACATCATCAGCTTGGAATCCTTTCAATACTTAGAGACTTCTGTCTTTGCCTTCTCCTGGACACAGCAGTGATCTGAGAATGGGATTCCTAAGGAGATGAGATTTTACGCATAAGGGGATGAAGCTCTTCCCTTAAGAACTCATCCCTTGATTCGGTCCATGAGCAATTAACTCCTGGTCCTGGAGCTTGTCCTGGTGTTTTCCCTCTAGAAGGGGTTTCCTAATGCCCCCACTGTTGATTTTAGAGGCTTGCATAGACATGGACAAGGAGAGGGCTCTCGCATCTGGCCTGTCCTCCTCCTGATTGGGTTGCTTGTTCCTCCACGGGGGCCGGGGGGGTGGGGAGTTCAAACTAGACTCCCACAAGAGCCTTACCTCCCTTCGGCCAAAGGTATTGGTTAAGCATAGGGAAAATGGTTCACCAGGTAAGCAAACTGCATCTGCCCTCCTTTCTTCTTGGCTTCTCTTCACATGGTTCTTCCCTGACTTAGCTTCTTTCCCTTTCATTACTCTGTTTTTTCATCTTTGTCTTCCCA